ATTTTTATATATGTAATATTTTTGTTTTTTTCTTTTGTAATTGTATTTTTCTGTTCTATTCTATACTAAAAGGTTTGGACATGTAGTTCGTTGATGATTTCACAAGCCGAACAGTTCCTGCCGGTGTGGCGGGCATACTGTATGAATGCTTATGTTAATGGAAACGTGATTTATATTTCGTTCGTGCAAGTAGGTGGTAGGTGTGTCGGATTAGGTCGTCGGACGAACGGATGTGACGGTGACTCGCTAAGGTGAACAATTTGTCGACTGTCTATATTTGAGATTCTATTATGTCTATATTGTTTTCAGTTGAGAATTTAAAAATCATTGATCCATATAGGACATTTTTGGTCACTAATATAATTTTTTTTTGATGAAGGAAAAATTGAATTTTTTGTACTTGACAGTCTGCAGTTCAATAGTTTTGTTTTTCGATGAAAATAACCGCTTTTGTGTAATTAAAGTCGGCTTTTTTTGCATAACTTAAGAGTTTGTTTTTTAAAAAAAAAAAGCAATTATAATCGTGATAAAATGCACATTATATAAATATCATTGTAGTAAAATAAATAAATTAAAAAAAATAATTAAAAAATTACCATTAAAAATCGTGAATTAATTATTGAAATAATTTTTATTATTAATGATCTGTTCTAACATGGCTAATATCATTAATTCGATTTAATTTAAAAAAATACAGGCCAGTTGCGGAGTTCTTGCTTATAATGCAATATAATGTGAAATAGCAGAGTCTTTTTCATTATCGCTTGCTTTACCTGTAATATTTCTTTCCAAGAACGGATTAATAAAGACGGCGATGTCACATCCTTATAAAGGCATATAAAAATAAACACAGTCCAGAAACATAAAGACTAATAGAGCTTATGCGTGCTCGCGATAAATATAGAATGGCTAAAAATAACTACAAAGGAATTTAGATCTTCAAATTGTATCTGGAGGATTCGTTTTAGCAGTTCCTCTATTTGCTACAACTTTCTATAGCGGACTCATAGACGTAGTATATTGTATGTACTACGTACTGACAGAGACAATAGTTTGTTTATGTACTTACGTAGAGACAGTACTGCTCATGTCTATAGGCGACGGTTTTTTTTTATGGGTGGAAATGGTATGGTAACCCCGCCTGCGCTAACGGGATACGCTGGCGGTGCACCAGTGACGGGTGATAGATGAGAATGAAATAGGCCAGTTAGCCCATCATGATGAATTCATCAGGAATTAACTATGATAGTTTCTAGGGGGAACCGCGAGGAGTTCGACTTGGTTGGGTATATTGCTAGCAATGGGATTCTCAGTCTCCATTACTAACAATCCCTTTCCCCCCTACAGGCGACGGTTACTACTTTACATCAGGTGGGTCGTCTGCTTGTTTGCTATTCTAAGTTGCATAAAAAAAATTCTTATTGTGGCTTCGTTTCGCGATTACGTCACAAATTAATTTTGATTTATTTTACAATCGATATCGCATTCGTACATTATTTTCTCCAGCCTTACATTTTACATACACTACATACATACGTACATTATTTTCCTTATTTTTCTTTGTGGAACAAAATAATGTTGGTTACGAAGTAAAATTAAAATTCTAAGTTGTATAAAAAAAAAAAAAAACTTTGTCTCTTCGACATTGCACCCACGTCACTGTTAACACTGTGGTGTCCAGTATACTAAATCGATTGGACGGCAATCGACAACAATTTAATTAAATTCTATGGTTTATTACATCATTCGGAAACTAATTGCCTGGCAACTACTAATTAATGTGATGTGAATTTGTAAACAGGAAAATTAAAATTATTAGGTACTTGTATGTATTGACGTGTTTTAACTTTATTTTTAGGGGTAGAGGGTGGGGGGGGGGTTCTTAAAGGTCTTAAAAAAGCTCGTAATATACTTTCGGATACTTTGAGATATGTTTTCGTGCATTATCGAAAGCTCCGTTCGCATTTTGAGGTGGGCACAGTATAGTTCTGGGGTGGGCACGAACCACTTGGCCCTTTTTCAAATATATTTATGCGTTAACATGCGTTAAATTATGCACAAATAACAACACTGTTAACTAGCTGTTTTAAACACAACCGAGAAATAATAATCTTTCTTTATGGCAGTGAATTTACTGGGTACAGAGGAATAACACCTGAGTCCTCAGGAATGGCAATGCATGGGCGAAACAGTATACTCTGTTATGTGCATGGTATTGCTCATGTCTATAGGTGACGGTTACCACTTTCCATCAGGTGGGTCGTCAGTTTGTTTGCCATTCTAAGTTGTATAAAAAAAAAAAAAAAAAAACTTTTTCTAGCGACTCGCTTCAGCTTTGCAGTTTTTTAATCGACTTCAGGAAGAAGGAGGTTTCTCTATTCGGTTGTAATTATTTTTTCATGTACCATATGTTTATTGTTAACTCTGTCAGTTCCAAACTGTTTTGAAGAATTTTTTTTTTTGTCTGAAGTTTAGTATTAAGATCAAAATAAGTGGTATTGTCGTAATTAAATTTTCGTCTATCGTTTGCTACAATTTGAGAGATTAAATAGCAATAGTATTTATTACGATTAGAGAAAATGAATTCAATAGGTGATAGTAGGGGGTAAAACAACGTTAGCCGGGTCAAGTATATGGCTATATACGTATATTTTATACATAAAAGGAAGCTATGTAATAAATTGCGTTAATCAATAAGTTTTTGACACGCGCAACGTAACGGCGTGCTAATTTTTAAAGCGCACAAAAATACTGCCCAAAAATAAGGTAAATATACTATATATATAATATAATAGATAGACAGATAGATAAACACTTTATTTGAGTCATCTATGGCACACGTAAATTTACAACAAAATTCATATAATCAAGTTACATAAATACAAAAATAAAACTCAAAAATAAAATACAAAAAAATACCAGAGGGAGATTTTGTACAAAAGTTGTTTGCTTGGGCACCACTGTCCAATTCGTGTATTCTACTGTGAAGCAGTTGTGTTTGCATAAAAAGTTGTTGGAATCGAGAAGTGAATAAACTTCGCATCTGCGATATCCATATGGATATTATCATTATCATCATGGATATCGCGAAAATGCGAGTATATTTTTTTTAATGCAATTTGGATTAACAAATTTTTCGATGGTACAACTAAATTCCAATGACGAGTGGCAACTGTCGCCACATTAAATAAACTCAGTACAACTTCCGTTACAATTCCTGACAATTAAGATGTTATACTTCCATACTCTATAATTTCAAATTCAAAAAGACTTGAGTATGACACAGCTTCGTGGCAAAATCCTAAATGGAACAAAGTTACATAAATATTTAGATGTCTCTCTAATTTCTGTTCTGTTTCAATGCACATTGTAAATTGTTGCGTGGGTTGGCGTTATCTACATTGCTATGATCAATACGTATGCTAAATATGCAAATTCTTTTATGCGTGATTGAGTAATCAACGTCTCAACATTCCGTTCCGCTGTAGGTATACAATCATATGTACTGTTACTGTACTTAATGTTATTGAACCTTTTTTTATACAACTTAGAATGGCAAACAAGCTGACGGCCCACCTGATGGAAAGTGGTAATCGTCGCCTATACACATGAGCAGTACCATGGACATAGCAGAGTGTACTGTTACGCCCATGATACCCCCCATGCGTTGCCATTCCTGAGGATTCAGGTGTTATTCCTCTGTACCCTGTAAATTCACGCCATATCCCACCCTTCAAATCGAAACACAGCCATGCAAACACAACTGCTTTACGGTAGAAACACGAATGGGACAGAGGTATCCAAGCAATCGACTTTTGTACTCAGTCTCCCTCTGGTGAGGGAGACTTAGTACAAAAGTACTTAAGTGAAAGTATGAATTCAGATGTAAAACAAAGATTTCCAAAATCCTACTTGTGACTAATATTATAAATGTGAAAATTGGTGAAGTTGTTTCATCATATACATGTCATATTAACCATGAATTGTTCACTGCTGAATGCAGGCATCTCCCTTGGGGGTTTTGTCAGTGGTTGTCAAACTTGGCACGTGGGTTGGCAACCGCAGCTAGGCTTTAAAAACGTTTTAAGACGGACGCTTCTGCCCATCTCTCGACTATTAAATTCCCTTAGTCGTCTCTAATTACATTCGCAGGAAAGGAAGGAGTGGCTCATTCTATGCTGGGGCCAAACAGGAAAATATGTAACACTTTGTACAGTAATGAATAAGGGGGTTAAATTATAGGATATGAAGTGCATTTTACGTACGGCTAATAACTTTGGTTTCACCCTCTAGATCTGGGGTGGACAACCGGTTGATCGCGACTATCTAATATTTTGCTAATCCAGCGGAAGATGCTCAGACGCAATGCTCACAATAATATAAATAAAGTAGTTACTAAGAGTATTTTTTAGTTTTATATTTTCCCTTTTAATAATATAAAAAAAATGTACTACAATACTACATAATTGTTTACTGAACTATGTTGTTTCATTTGAGATTTCAAAAAGTATGTAAATGGTAAATCGCACATGGTCTCGTCAGTAAACAGTTCTTTTTTTATTTATTTTTTATACATCTTAGAATGGCTAACAAGCTGACGGCCCACCTGATGGAAAGTGGTAACCGTCGCCTATAGACATGAGCAGAGCCATGGACATAACAGAGTATACTGTTTCGCCCATGATACCACCCATGCGTTGTCATTCCTGAGGACTCGGGTGTTATTCCTCTGTACCCAGTAAATTCACGCCATATCACATTCACCCTTCAAACCGAAACGCAGCCATGCAAACACAACTGCTTCACGGTAGAAACACGAATGGGACAGAGGTACCAAGCAATCGACTTTTGTACAAAGTCTAAATATACTAAAGTCTAAGTGGATCTTGGGTCTAGTCAATTCGGCCACCCCAGATGTAGAATGTCGTAATAGTTTTCTCTGTAGCTAGACATACAATACGAATGAAATAAGTACAAGCAAATATATTGCTTTGTTTCAGATGGAGGTAGATAAGCCAGAGGACGCCACTGAGGAATCGGACGCGTCTGGTCTGGACAGCGACGACCCACTCACTGCTACTGACACCAAATATGGCAAGAGCTTCAGGTTTGATATTTCATCCTTTACATATGCATGCTTCCCATACGATAGATACCTGGTAGTGAACTAGTAAGAATGACTTTATTTGAAACTAGCGATCTGACCCGGCTTCGCACAAGTACATAGAATTTGCGAAAATCAATACATTTAATTAAAAAAAATCAACCAATTCAAATTTACCAGAGGGAGACTTTGTTCAAAAGTCGATTGCTTGGGTACCTCTGTTCCATTCATGTTTCAACCGTGAAGCAGTTGTTTTTGCATGGCTGTGTTTCGGTTTGAAGGGTGGGATATGGCATGAATTTACTGGGTGCAGAGGAATAACACCTGAGTCCTCAGGAATGGCAACGCATGGGAGGTATTATGGGCAAAACAGTATACTCTGTTATGTCCATGGTACTGCTCATGTCTATAGGCGACGGTTACCACTTTCCATCAGGTGGGCCGTCAGCTTGTTTGCCATTCTAAGTTGTATAAAAAAAAACTGACCGGTTATTTTACAGCATTTTATATGTGATACTTTAGATTGATGTAACATGTTTATTTATAACAATAAAAAAAAATGATGATTTAAAAGTACTTGTAAATAAGTCCATTTAAATAAAGATAATTTGAATTTAATGACAGGCGTGACAGATATGTATGTATGAATTTAATGAAAACAAGTCAGTTGGCTTATCGTGATGAATTCACCAAGAATTAACCATGACGGTTTCTAGGCACCGCGTGTAGTCAACCTGTTAGAGGATGTTGCTACTGATGGGACCACTAGACCCTATTATTGAAAATTTCATCTCCCCCCCCCCTATTTTACCAGTTTCAGATCTCTAGAGCAAGGAGCGACTGTTCTGTACGAAGTAGTACTATTATTACTAAAAGTGTCGTCTGAGAAAAGTGGGGAAACTTGTTTAGCAAACAGGTCCAAGGCACTACCGTTTCATAGTCTAGTAAATTGAAGTTTCCAACAATCCATGAAATCAACATAAATTCAAGTTTATATATTACAATTCACTAGCGGCCCGTCCCGGCTTCGCACGGGTGGACATTTTTACAACATTTATAGTGGTTATTGTGACATAACGATAATAGTTGGACATGTAGTGTCGCGAAGTTTTTTGTAGTTATTGATATTTTCTTCAATATTGTAGAACATACTTTTGTTCTATCACCAATAGTTTCCGCAACGCACGCGACGAAAGATATTGTATAGCATTTTTTACACCTCGAGTTACGTTACTAAAGTTTTAGTAAGGATCCCTAATCTTTTCTTGCAATAAATATAGCCTATGTTACTCAGGGTGAATGTAGCTTTCTAATGGTGAAAGAATTTTTGAAATCGGCAAGGTAATTTTTGAGTTTATTCATTACAAACATACATACACACAAAAATACAAATCTTTTCTCTTTATAATATTAGTGTAGATATATAATATTGTATTGATGTTGTCGATTGCTGCCACTCGAATTGTTACGCTTTGCTTCGAGATTTTAAAAGCCGGTTTCAAGGAAGTCTAACCGGTCGGGTGTATAAAGTGACATATATAACATATATATCACAAATACCAGAGGGAGACTTTGTACAAAAGTCGATTGCTTGGGTATCTCTGTCCCATTCGTGTTTCAGCCGTAAAGCAGTTGTGTTTGCATGGCTGTGTTTCGGTTTGAAGGGTGGGATATTGCGAGAATTTAGAGGGTACAGAGGAATAACACCTGAGTCCTCAGGAATGGCAACGCATGGGGGTATCATGGGCGAAACAGTATACTCTGTTATGTCCATGGTACTGCTCATGTCTATAGGCGACGGTTACCACTTTCCATCAGGTGGGCCGTCAGCTTGTTTGTCATTCTAAGTTGTATAAAAAAAAAATGTAGAGTAGAACGAATGTTTTACAATTATTGTCTTAATATATAAAAATCCCGTTTCACCGCGTTCGTTTACGATAATATCTGAAAGCGTTGCATTGATTTTAGCTAAATTTTATAAATGTATTGTTTGCTTCAACCTGAGAAATATTAATTTTACAGTTCCTCTTCCTTTAAACCTGGTAAGGGGCAAAGCAACGTTTGCTGGACTAGCCAGTATTTTTAGTTATAGTAATTTCGAAGTAAGTTACTCGGTAAAAGTGTCAGGGGGTACGGCAGTACTCCTGCCAAGTCGAGCACAGCTGAACCATCCTTATCTCAAAACGACTCACGGCACTTTGGACCGCCTTGTAAATTCATTGTGTATAAAACAAGAAGTTTGAACGCTTACTGATTAGGAGGACATTATAACTGACTATATTGTCAATATATCATTTATTATAAATTTGTTTTCTATAATAATTACTATTTTTAAATTATATTTTTTTTTTTACCTTAAATCGTCATTTTTTATTATAATTATTATAGTAAAAGCGATGTTTAATATTGATACGCTCACTATAAATGGTGATAGATAATTGATTAGATGACAATTTATAATAAAGTTGTTGAACAGGTGCTTCCATAGACACTAACTAAACTGGTTTGGTTTTACATGAAATCTCACAACTTTTTGTAGTGGAAGAACTGCGTTTGCGAGACTTGGTATTTTTTTACATGTTATGTTTTTGAAAAAATCTTTACTCATAAAATAAATTATGATGTTGTTGCCCTAAGTGGGATACATGAGGTTCGTGGTTGGCGAAATCCAACTATTACAAGATCATTATAATCTACTTGCCCCCTTGCTTAAAATCTGTTTGGGGCAGTATAATTTGTTTCTCTTCCATTCATCTCTTATTGCAGTCATGTCATTATTTACTGCCTTTCTAGCGATGCCATTTTTCACACTTATAGTATAATCTCGATTATTCGAATCAAATAAAATTATTAGGAGTATTCTGTATATCTAAATAAAAATCCGGATAATCGATTTTAAAGTCAATTTCAACAATAATTAAATTTTAATATTTTTTTATTATATAAACAGTTTTACAGACGTCATTTAGATAAAACGATATTAAACAATTATGAGCTGGAAAAATAATGAATTACATAATACCTATTTACCCAATTAATACATAATACCATTTGTAAATACGCATTTCATGTCTATATCTAGATAAATGGCTAAAAGAAATAGGGTAAAATACTCAAAGAAGACTTGGGCCTGCTTCATTCCTTTTTTCAAGTTCAAAGAGACCGTTATTATACCATTTCTCCAATTACAAGCAGTGTAATATTTTCAGGATTCTTATCTGTATGTGAGTTCTTTTATTCCATCATAACTTTTAAATTCCTGAGCAAATTTGGGTATATGTGATATCTTTAGAATTCTTATATTATAATGAGTGACATTTGGCTATATATTTTTTTAATAGTTCGTAATAGACAGAGTAATCGTGTTTCAAAATTTGCAGACCAAAATGTCCACTTGTTTCGCGACAAAGTCGCTCTTTGTTGTTTTTTTGTTTATTTAAGTTGACCAATATGCAGGATTTTCATTAGTTAATACTTTTTTTGTGTGTGGTCCCGGTATAGAAGAGGCCACGCCTTCCTTTTCCGTAAGTGTCGTAAGAGGCGACTAAGGCAGGGCGAGGAATGGGCAGCAGCGTCCCTCTTAAAACATCTCCAAAGCCCAACTGAGGTTGCCAATCCGTCTGCCAAGCGTTGCATCTACTGGCAAACCCGAGGGGAGGGTTATGTTCAGGAGTGGACAGATAAAGGCTGATATAATACTTTTTGTTACCAGGCATTTCACCCGCGAGGCTCTGCCGCGATTGGACAACTACAGGAACGTTCTCTCGCTGCACGCCGCACCACGACCCACCCTCGACGAACTGCACAACGCGTCGCTCTCTAGAAAGGTAACCCTGCAAGTTTATGAGTATTTATATTATATAGAAGGTTATCGAAGTGTCGCGACCTCATTATTATCTGTCAGTATGATTGTTCTTAACCAACTTAAAAAAAGAGAAGGTTCTGAATTCGGTTGTATGTTTTTTATTTTATTTGTACTTTACTAGCTTTTGCCCGCGGCTTCGTCTGCATGACCGGAATATATTTACTGATAAAAATTAGCCTATATTCTTCTCCATCCCATATAGTGCGTGTATATCAAATTTCTTAATGATTAGTTAAGCCCTTAGGTTAAGCCGTTAAGACATTGTACATACAAATAATATATACAGAAATAGGACAGTGGAAAGCAAATGTACAAAGGCGAGCTTAACTTTGCAAAAGTTTATTATGTTTGTTGCTTTAGAATTCCGTAATATGTAAACGGATTTGGAAAATTCTTAAATTTTAATTTTTAGAGGATACACTTTCTTTTTATATTTAAAAATAGAAATGCCATCAAAATCGGTTCAGTAGTTCGATTTTCAAATCAAAATAACTGGTTTTGTCATGATTAAAGTTGGAGTTTTTTTTTGTGGATCCATTTCTACTTGTTAAATTAAGTTAGAAGCGTAACACTATAGGTCATTATGACATAAAACTGTAGTATTCAAGAATGGCAAAGCTGAATTGTGTATTGAATAAAAATATTGAAGGGGACAGATTTGTATATGAGTAATGTCTTTCATGATTTCATTTTATCGTATCATTGAAATGGCTTGAATTTTAAATATTGAGGTATTTTTGGATTTGTCGTGACAGCCCAAGTGTCATAGAATGGTTAATGCATAAAGTAAACATGGCAGCGTAGTGCGTCATTTTGTCGAAATAAGAGAGAGAATTGTAACCCTGAATGGTATTATTGGAATCGTAAAGAAAGTTAAGTGTTTTACTGAACTAGGTGTGTTATCTTGTGAAAGTGCATATCACTGGTTATTTTAAAAGAATTATTTTGTTTGAGAATTAAGCGCAACAGAAAAAGATAGCACTTTGTTAGCTAAAATAGATTTATTGGGAGTCTGACATTTTTATTAAGATTTAATGTTTATTTTTACTAGCCGTTTCCTGTGGCTTTGCTCGCGCATATCAGTACATAAAGCATCTTATGGGTTACAATACAACCTACTCGTGTATCAGATTTAATTGAAATGAACATTTGAAAACCGTTTAAAACTGATTAAGTGAAAAAGGGGAAGGAGTGGTCCATTCCATGTCAGGGTCTACGCAGCTTATAATATAAAATAAAATATAAAGTAGAAAAAAGAAAATTTATATTTTGACATGTAATATTAATAATTTATTTTTTGAACTTGGCTGGACACGCTGCCGCCTTTCTAGATTTTTTTTTTAACAAAATTTACATCTCCCCTCTTAAGAAGAGGAGATGGCAAACTAGCCCCCGGCAGAAGCACAGTCGGCTGGGGTTCAGGGCCCCAGGGAGGGAAACTGGCGTACCATGCGGGCAGAATCTAAGAGCACCGCTTTCTGCATCTCCCGGTAGTGAGCCGCCTCAGAATCTCAACCGTCTGAGATGTTATTTCAGACCGATTGGGATAAGACCGTTCACCGACAAAACGATTGCAAATTTATATACCAAATTTTAATTAAATCCATTAATCCGTTAAATAAGTAACTTTCACATCTGAAATACTAGCTGTAACCTGCGGCTTTGCCTGCATACACCAGTATGTAAAGTATTCAATATGTTAAGTAAAGATCATCTGTCCATGTATCAAATTTCATTCAAGTTCGCTCAGTAATTTTTGCGTGAAGGAACTGTAGTAGAAAATGAGAAAGAATAGTGGGAATATTATAAACTAGCACTATCCTGGGCACCCGGATTCGCATGGTTTTTTTAAAATAAAATATACCCTATGTTGTTCGCTGATAATGTAGCTTTCTATAGGTGAAAGAATCATTAAAATCGGTTGAGTAGTTTGTAATATTAAATATAAGCAAACAATCAAAATTTTCCTTTTTTTTTATAACATTTGTACGTAAATATGAAAGTTTTTAAGAATAGGTTTACGTACAATGGTAGTGTGATGACATCCATGTGCCCTTAATGTAACTACTCATAATGAGGTCCGTTACGGTTGACTGTTGGCCTGGTGACGCAGGGATCACCAGGTAATCGTCTTAATTGAAGACCTAATTAATTGATTACGGCGTTTGCTTACTACGTAGTTGGCATTCCTATCTTGATACTATGGTATGGACGCGGCTACTTGTATGCATGATTTCGCATTAGCTGTTGATTGTCCACTGCTGGACCTAGCCTTTAACATAAGGGGCGTTTTGCCAGTTGTTGCCACGCTTAGCAGGTGGGTTTGCAACCGTACTTAGGGTTTGATGTTTTAGAAGTTGAATATTGTGTATTTTTTGTCAGTTGATAATCATACATTATAAAATCTACTTGCCAATTCAGAAATTTTACTTCATATTATCTTTAATACTTTACTAAGTAATCTATAAAAACCACAAGTCAGTCGAGACTAGCGCCATCTAGTATTAATTGTCTAATTTTGTGTATTTTTTTAATGGATGACAATGGAGTGGCTACCCCGCTTGCGCTAACGATATACGCTAGCGGGGCGTCAGTGATGGATGATAGGTGAGAATGAAAAAGCAGGTTAGTTAGCCCATCGTGATGTATACACCTACAATAATAATAATATACCTGGAATTCAGCACGATGATTTCCCACGGTTTTTCCGCATCCCTTAGCCATTAAGTCTCCTTAGTCGCCTCTTACGACATCCACGGGAAAGGAAGGGGTGGTATACATGTATGTACTAATGAAAAAAAAAATTGACGATAACGACAGAGGTATTATGTTCGGCCCGACTGTACTTGCTGATAGTGCGTGAAAGGAATGTTTTTATCAGTAAACATGACATTATAATTGGAAAGCGGTTTGCGATTTTTTTTACTTTCATTTCTCACACACCAATGAAAAGCAGAATCGGATTTTTTTTATACAACTTAGAATGGCAAACAAGCTGACGGCCCACCTGATGGAAAGTGGTAATCGTCGCCTATATACATGAGCAGTACCATGGACATAACAGAGTACACTGTTTCGCCCATGATACCCCCCATGCGTTGCCATTCCGGACTCAGGTGTTTTTCCTCTGTACCCAGTAAATTCACGCCATATATGTTAATTTAAGAGGCAATTGCAGTTGTATCCATTTGCATTTTTGTTGTATTTTGTTATGAGAGGGACTGGATGAAAACCAGCGCTGTGCAGCTGTTCACATTGCGCTGGGACACTCACAGCATCGGCTGAGCCAGTTCCTTTTGCCTAGTATGAGACACTTCTTATGTATTTTCTGTATTTTCTATTGTAATACTGTGTTTTTCCGGCAATAAATATTTTCTATTCTATTCTGTTTAAGTCTGATTTAAATTTCACTTTTAATTCAATAGACATAAACATTTATACAAACAAATGTGAACTGAATATAACTAGTGGCATTGGGGGGAAGGAATTGTTAGCAATGGAGTTTGACAGCCCTATTGCTAGCAATATGACCTTATCAGGTCAACCTCCGCGTGGTTCCCCCTGGAAACCATCGTGAACAATTCTTGTTGAATTCGTCACGACGGGCTAACTGACCTGTTTCATCCTCGTCTATCATCCTTCACTGGTGCCCCGCCGGTGTATACCGATAGCGCGGGTGGGGTTACTATTTCATTATCACCTTTTAAAAAAACAAAAAACTAGTGGCATTTTATGCCGGGACCACACGGTACTTGTTTACAAGTATATATATTCGTATTTAAACTGTAGTTTTTTTTTTTTAATCGAAACAGTTCATTATTTCCGTGGAAACTATATAAGTTTAATAGGACACTATATTAATTTAGTGGAAAAAAGACATATCGAATATTTATGCGGTTATTTTCCCCGAATGCGTGTAGTTGCATACAATTTCTTGTATGTTACAGAATTATACGGAAAAAAACCGCGCTGTGAAAATATGCGGGCTTTTCCTAACACGGTGAATATTTTTATGATTATACTTTCCATGTAATGCGTCGTCAACTTGTTTAATGACTATTTGATAGCATTACTAAGGGGAAAAAGGGGGTCATTACTAATGAGGTGTTTTTTTGATGGGTGAAAATGGTATGGTAACCCCGCCTGCGCTAACGGGATACGTTGGCGGAGCACCAGTGAGTAACAGACTTACTCACGAATACAAGTGTTTGTATTGTGAGGGAATTGAACCCGTAACCATTGGAAGGTGAGACGGTGGTTTAAACCGCGAAACCACCAAGGTAGACTACTGTATAATAATAGTCGCTGACGTTTCCGATTTCAACTTATTTGATTTTTTTTAAATAGATGATAATGGAATTATAACCCTGCTTATTGGTATACGTCTGTGGGGCACCAGTGAGGCATGATAGGTATAGTAAACCACGATGATTTCCAGAAGCAACCGCGTGGAGGTTAACCTGAAAGGGTATATTTGATAGCAGTGGGGACAAACCTCCCCATTACTAACAATCCCTTTCCCCCTAGTTGCTGATGTTTACGATTTTAACTTATTATTAGAAGTTTTTTTTATATGGATGATAATGGAATGACAACCCCGCTTATCGGTATACGCTGGGGGGGGGGGGGGGGTCAGTTGACTAATCATGACGAATTCATTAAGAGTAAACTACGATGGTTAGGGAGAAAAGGATTGTTAGTAATGGAGACTGAGAATCCCATTGCTAGCAATATACTCAACCAGGTCGACCTCCTCGCGGTTCTCCCTGGAAACTATCATGGTTAATTGCTGATGAATTCATCATGATGGGCTAACTGGCCTGTTATCATTCTCATCTATCACCCTTCACTGATGCTCCGCCAGCGTATCCCGTTAGCGCAGGCGGGGTTACCATACCATTATCACCCATAAAAAAAACTACGATGGTTTCCGGAGGTAACCGCGTGGTTCGATTTAACAGAATATGTAGTTAGAAATAAGGCAACTATTCCCCATTACTAACAATTCCTCCCCCCTCCCTCCCTGTTTAGGAGTAGGCCGTGGATAATTACATCTAGGTACTACAGAATGTGGGATTTAATTAACCCAAGTTCAAGGGATTGCGACCCGCATCATAGTGTATGTACTCGCGTGGGTGTTTCATTACGCTACTGCAACCATATTGACCTTTTGTTAGTGGTATAATTTAGTTATGGGCATGCTTCTTGAATTAAGGCTGTGAGAATATTAACTGCCACGTGTATAACGGATCTAGAAAGAGATGGAAAAGTACAGTAAGAGATTTGGCGTGAAGTTAACTAGACACAGATTGGGGGGAAAGGGATTGTTGGAATGGAGACTAAATCCCATCCATAAAATCCCATTGCTAGCAATATACCTAACCAGGTCGACCTCCTTGCGGTTACCTCTGGAAACTATCATGGTTAATTCCTGATGAATTCATCATGATGGGCTAATTGGCCAGAGGGAGGGAGACTTTGTACAAAAGTCGATTGCTTGGGTACCTCTGTCCCATTCGTGTTTCAACCGTGAAGCAGTTGTGTTTGCATGACTGTGTTTTGGTTTGAAGGGTGGGATATGGCAGTGGATTTACGGGGTACAGAGGAATAACACCTGAGTCCTCAGGAATGGCAACGCATGGGGGGTATCATGGGTGAAACAGTATAGTCTGCTATGTCCATGGTACTGCTCATGTCTATAGGCGACGGTTACCACTTTCCATCAGGTGGGCCGTCAGCTTGTTTGTCATTCTAAGTTGCATAAAAAAAAAAAAAAAAAAATTGGCCTGTTTTCATTCTCATCTATCAGCCTTCACTGGTGCTCCGCCAGCGTATCCCGTTAGCGCAGGCGGGGTTACCATTCCATTTTCATCCACTAAAGAAAAAAAAAAACTAGACATAGATTATCCGGCATGGATACATATTTTATTGAATTACGTTTTTTTTAATGGATGATAATGGAATGGTAGCTCCGCCTGCGCTATCGGTATACGCTGGCGGAGCACCAGTGATGGATGATAGGTGAGGATGAAAGCAGGTCAGTTGGCCCATCGTGACAAGTCCACAAGAATTAACCACGATGGTTTCCAGGGGGAACCGTGTGAAGGTCGACCTGATAGGGTATATTGTTAGTAGTGGGGATTAACGTCTTCATTACTAACAATCCTTCTCCCCCCGCAATAGAGCTGTTTTTGTTTTTAAGTGATAATGGAATGGTAACCCCACCCGCGCTATCGGTATACACCGGCGGGGCACCAGTGATAAATGATAGGTGAGAATGAAAGCAGGCAAAATAAGACATAGTTGGATAAGTGGAAAATTTCTATTAAATTGAAACTCAAATTTTATTCATTTGTATAGCTTTAATATTTCTCGTCAAATATGATAGATACCTAAATCAATCAACCAGACCTAGTTGCACACACTTATTCATCACATACTTTTCACGAAGGACAAAGGCTAAGCCCAAAGATCTACCGCCCGGAGCCTCGCAAAGACCTACCGTCCGGAGCCTCACAATGGGTAAAGCCGCCGCTGCTGGTGCCCCGCCGGTGTATACCGATAGTGCAGGCGGGGTTACCATTCCATTATCACTCATGAACAATAATATCAGTGTGGGAGGCTAACCTTTTCTTTGGTTTAATTATGTTTGTTTACGTAGTTTCCTATTACACGCCTACAAATATTATAAATGTGAAAGTAAGGTTTTGGATGTTTGTTGCTCAATCGTCCATTATAATATCCATCGATCAATCATAAAAACGAAACAAATGTCAGCGTAGATACATAATTTAGATATTTAGAATTAGGCCAGTAGAGAAAATAAAACTTCTTTATCTATGCCATATAAATAATAGTGTCAAGCCTGGCATCTAGTGGTGTTTGTAAAAAAAAAATTAACGACTGTATATGTAAATTTTTTTTAATACCACTGTGGTGGCAAACAAACAAGTATCTAAGTATGTATGTATATTAATAATTAGTAGTACCGCATTCGAGTATTCTAATACTTCCCTATGGTTGACTGGGAGAGAATGCTTTTAGCATTAAGTCCGCCAAGTACACATATTTGTACTAATGAATAAATAAATAAAAATAAATAAGTATACCTAATTATCTAATTATCTTTTATTTTTTGTAATTTTATAGGCTGATGGCTTTCTAGCCAGTGTTAGTAAAATAATAATAATAAAAAAAAAACTGTTGCAATTTAATATATTTAATTAAAATATAAACGAATGAATAATTGACTCGAACATAAAACAGTCTGCTAATGTATATCGTAATAATAAATAATAGTAGTACAAATGGAAAATCGAATAGTCGATTAAATGTTTCGATTAGTTACTAATTACATTTACATGTGTTTTTATAATAATTTTAAGTAAAAAAAAAAAAATAACCGAGTGGGAGTATTGTTTAAAATTTAAAAATTCAAATTGTTTTAATTAAGTTGTATTAAAGGAGATATAATATTATAATATAATGTTGTTAAGTTGAACCTAATTCAAAAACACCTCTATTAGAATCAACTGCTAGGGCTGCCTCCCTCATGTAATTTATACAAATTTATAATTCGATATTTTTTTCAATATTATATATTTTTAGCCTGGTCAAACATTGGAGAAGGATCCAGACGGCGCTCCTACCATAGGAACCTCAAACGTCAAGTTTGGATGGATCAAGGGTGTGCTGATGAGATGCCTCCTCAACATATGGGGGGTCATGCTCTTCCTGCGCTTGTCATGGGTCGTTGGACAAGCAGGCATCGGTTAGTATACTTGTTTTATTTTTAAAGTGGGCCTTTTAACTTCTTAACATTTTAATATTAATTTTTTATACTACAGCGATCAAGTTTACTTCTATCTAATATAGAGTGGTGAGGTGTAGCTTATAGACATTAACACATTGGTCATGATAGTATATACTGTGACACCCATGAGCAATTTATGCATTGGTGTTATGTCTGTAACTATCAAATTATAGACATAACATCTTAGTACTATGGTAGTGATACCATATTGCATCATCCAAACAAAACAGACATGCAAACACAACTGCTTAACGGCAAAAACACGAGTGGGACCGGGGTACTCCAGTAGACGATTTTAGCCTTTTGTACAGTCTTCAACTGGTGAAAGTCAACAAAGTACAAAATTTTCAAATGCAGTTTGCTTATATGATCTAAAATCTACAGTTGAAGCTTTAATCAAATAAAATGTCTAATGTTCATGTTAATGTTCATGTTCAATAGTCATGATCAATGGTCAAGTTCAATGGTCATGTTCAATGTTCATGTTCAATGTTCATGTTCAATGGTCAAGGTCAATGTTCATGTTCAATGGCCATGTTCAATGTTCATGTTCAATGTTAATGTTCAATGTTCCATGTTTATGTTCAATGATCATGTTCAATGTTCATGTTCAATGTTCATGTTCAATGTTCATGTTCAATGTTCATGTTCAATGTTCATGTTCAATGTTCATGTTCAATGGTCATGTTCAATGTTCATGTTCAATGGTCATGTTTAATGTTCATGTTAATGTTAATGTTCAATGTTCAAAGATCGTGTGTTGTTTTACGGCAGCGCAGTCAATGCTGCTGATACTGACCACCTCGGTTGTGACCACCATCACCGCGCTCTCCATGTCCGCCATCAGTACCAACGGGGTCATCAAAGGAGGTATGTTTTTTATTTTATTTTATTTATTTATTTTTATTCATTAAAAATAATTATAACATTATGTCAACAAAAGCCAAATCAATGTTATAAACATAGTGTGCTAACATACAAAATTAGAATAAAAGTAGGCAGGCTACTACTAAAAATATCAATGATGTTTATAATTATTAATATTTTTATTTAAATGATATAAAATTTTAAAAGTAATTAACGCGAGTTTTTTTTTATGGGTGAAAATGTTATGGTAAGCCCGCCTGCGCTAACGGGATACGCTGGCGGAGCACCAGTGAAGGGTGATAGATGAGAATGAAAACAGGCCAGTTAGCCCATCGTGATGAATTCATCAGGAATTAACCATGATAGTTTCCAGGGGGAACCGCGAGGACGTAGACCTGGTTGGGTATATTGCTAGCAATGGGATTCTCAGTTTTCATTACTAACAATCCTTTTCCCCTCAAATTAACGCGAGTTACCAGGTGTAAGGTAGATGATTGACTGCGATAAAGAGTATCCTATGTCTTTCAATATCTCAAATAGTACGTGCATACAAAATTTTGTGAATGAATTTGTCCATAAGGCGGGCCGGTATGTTTGTTTACTTATTTACTCTTTATTGCACCACTTAAAGAATTTATATTTATATTTACTTTTACTGGCTTTTTATATAAAATACATAGACAAATAGAGAGATGTTTTTATTTGCAGGCGGTACATACTACATGATATCGCGTTCCCTCGGCCCCGAGTTCGGCGGCTCCATAGGCCTGATATTCTCGATGGCGAACGCCGTGGCCTGTGCCATGTACGTGGTCGGTTTTGGGGAGTCGCTCATCACACTCATACCGGAGTCCAGTTACATGGTCAGCAAGAGTTGGGTGAGTTGAGTTGTATATTTTTTTTTAGTGGATAATAACGGAGTGGTAACTTTGCCTGCGCTAACGGTATACACTGCCGGGACATCAGTGGCAGATGGTAGGTGAGAATGAAAAGGCAGGTCAGTTAGCCAGTCGTGTGGAGGTCTATTTGACTAGGTATATTGTTAGCAATGGGACTGGTAGCCCGCATTACTAATAATTCTTTCCCTCCCTCTACTCTGATGTTGCTAGTATCGATCACTTACCGTAAAGTGAGACGAATGCTAATTTACCTCTTTTATTACATAAAAGAGGTAAAGATTGATTTCCCTAAATTTCTCTAAAATTATCAGTGTTTCTCTACTATATTATGCATGTATTACATATATAAATCTTCCTCTTGAATAATTCTCTCTCTCTCTCTCTCTCTCTCTCTCTCTCTATATATATATATATATATATATATATGTAAAACTTAATATTTCATTAATTTAATTATTTATTACTTTTTTTTAGGATCAAGCAATTTACGGTTGCATAACAATAGTTCTCTTAACCGGGATCGTAATGGTGGGCATGGAGTGGGAAGCGAAGGCCCAGATCGTACTGTTGGTGATACTGTTGGCAGCTATTGCAGACTTCTGCATCGGATCTATCATAGGACCTAAGAGCGATTTGGAGGCCGCCCAAGGATTTGTAGGCTATAACAGTGAGTATGCTTTTTAATTAGATTCAATTTAGCCTTACAAGTTTCTGTTTTCCTAGTACTTTATTTCAGATTTTTTATTGTATATTTTTTTTTCAGTGACGGTTTTACATGAGAACTTGTGGTCGGACTACCGGTATTATGAAGGGGTGGAGCATAATTTCTTCTCTGTATTCTCCATATTTTTTCCCGCTGCGACAGGCATATTGGCCGGTGCCAACATATCCGGTGATTTGAAGGTATCGTCCCGTTAACATTTTTATTTATTTATTCTTTTGCACTCTTATTTATCTCTGGATCCACCATGGAAGGGCACATGGAACAAAGATATTGAATTTAAGGCTATTTATCTGAGATATAGAAGATATTTGGGTCCACTGAGTAGCAGTATCGCCTACTTTTGGGAACCTAAATTCAAATATAGGTTAAATTCAAAATAAAGGTTTTGGGGAATTGTGTGTTTTTTTCACACTGTTTTTGGTTCAGTTATTTCACTGATCGCGCACATTTTAATATTTCATGCACAAATTGATAATGTTAAGTCGCTGATACGGTACAGATTGTACTAGGAGAGCAGAAGTTTATTGGAAGTGTTCGTTGTTTAGTTAACCTCTCATAGGCTTCTGCTCTCCTAGTACTATATTGATAATTCTGTATTTTATATATAATTTAATGACCTAGACTTTGCCCCCACCAGGATCCCCAGAAGTCAATACCCAAGGGCACTCTGCTGGCGATACTGCTGACAACGTTTTCATACCTGGTGATCGCTATAATCGCGGGCTGGTCGGTGATGCGCGATGCGACTGGTGACCTGATGACAATGGTCGACGTGCCCGCTTGCCGGGCCAACAGGACTTGTCCGTACGGGTTACACAACAGCAATGATGTGAGTGTCCCTTTTGACATTTCCAAAAAATAAATTGTTAGTAACTAGGATCACCGTCCCCATTTGATAATAATTTACTGCTAAGTTTGGTAAAATTGTCGTAAATTCCTAGATAAATTTGTCTCACATTTAAAATTGTGTTCTAAAAGAAAACCGACTTCAATTGTGATACAGCCAGTTTTTTTTTATTTAAAAATTAAACTACTGGAATAATTTTGATAAAATTTCTATGGAAATAATCTACAAGTATATCCTTTTAGTTAAGAAAATAATTTTCCAAATCGGTTTACAACAAATAGAGTTATGAGGTAATAAACATAAAAAAAAAATACAACCGAATTGTACCTACATCTTGTTGAAGTTAAAAACGTATAATATCTAAGAATTAAACATATTCATAACAGAAATATTTGCAAGCGGAAAAAGTGTTCATAACCGAAATATGCTGCAGACATAGTGGAGTATTTTTAATCGTCGGCCGGCCCAAAAATAGCGGTATAACTTTTTGTGTACGTTCCTCTCTGCCTGCGTTTGTACATGTCTGTGTTACCATAGCGTCAATAGTTCGTGCCCTAAACACATGGATTGATTCATGCAATTTTTTTTTTATAAGGGGATGGGTTTAATAATAATTTTGAGACACATATGACGAAAACTACAACTACTAGAATAACTACATGGGACAAATAAAAAAAACACTAGGTGTCATGTCGTATAGGGAGGTCAAGGATATGGCCTGGGATAGAGCTGGCTGGAAGAAGATGCATGAATTAGTTGCACCGACAAGAGGAAACTCTTAAATGAAAAAAAAAATTACGAAAATATGTTTTCGTATTTTCTTTTGTTTTATATTAAAAAAAGTGTAATTGATTGTATGAACTCATTTGTGTTAATTTACGTATGTCTTAAATGGTTTAAATAAATTACGTTTATCTATCTATCTAATTTAAGACATGGTTCCACAAGATATCACGGTCGTTGTTTTCGTATAGTTTGCCACCATTGAACGACTTTATTGCTGTGTGGTCCCGACGTAAAATGGGCCACCACTTCATTTCTCGTGGGCGTCGTAAGACGCGACTAAGGGAATTTAATAGTCGAGCAGCAGCGTCTCTCTTAAAACATTACTAAAAGCTAAACTGCGGTTGCCAACCGGCCTAAGCGTGACAACTACTGGCAAAATCCCCCTTATCCCTTTCAGACCTGAACGATACGGGCGTGAGTTGTAACTTTAAAAAATTCTAAAACCGCGCGCAATTCATTTTTACGCACGAAGCTGAAATAACATGATAGTGAGATTCTAAACCAGCCAATAAGAAATCATTTTAGCGGTTAGGTGGTGCAGTCTCTCAGCCTCGTGCATGCCGGCAAGATGGCTTGGCTTCAAAACACGAAAATATATTTAATCTGAAAGAAAAAAAATCTTGGGTCTGAAAGAGTTATGGGAGAGGTCTATGTTTAGCAAACAGTTATCGGCTATTATGATGATATGCCATCTAGTATCTGATTTCAAAACTAAATTTTCTATATAAAATACATTTCTTAAACACCCATACTTAAATTTAAAATGTAATTATTAAAATATTCTTATCGTCTTTAGATTACATTTAATATATTATTAATTTATTATTGTCTGAATTAGTCATTGGAATAGTTTAGTTGACAAATATGCAATATTTTGTTTGCTTAGCTGCGACATGTTTTTGCAAGTGTGTCTGTGTTTTGTAGTTACGTTTCTTTATTGTGTTGTTACGTTATTGATATTAAATTAATAGTATAATTAAAAAAATATCGAAATCGCAGGGCATGACACTGTTTTTTAGATAGGTAAATCTATGTTTTTTTTATACCATTTTCGATAGCTTTGGTTTACTTTATCTATTGTCTATTGTGTTACTCAAGGTTAGCTCAATCGAGAAACATATGTTCTATTAGTGAATTTAAACTTGATCTGTTGATTTCGTTGTAAATAGCAGGATGCAGTAATAAAACATATATGTATTTGTGATATAAAATAATAAGTTTAGTGAAAAAAATAAGAGACATGTCTTATAAAAATCTGACACAGAACAAATTTAAAAATTAAACATTGTTCTAAAAAACCTCAATGTCAACAGCCAGTATTAAAACTCAGACAACAGATTTACTTTTCTCAAAAAAATGTGGTAAACATTTTGAACCTCATAAGGTTATAGAGTAACATGACATATCTGGCTGTCAAGTTTTTTTTTTTTTTTGATAATTTATTATTCTTTATTTAATAACAATTCACACCTAGTTAGATCTACTAGCCACCGAACTATATTTAATATATAATATAGAAGGTCAGCAGCAGCAGCAGCTACCTTCAATGAATTGTCGGTTGCCGATCTTCGGTTGAGTGTATACTGAAAAGGCAACGTGAACTGTCTACCGAGTGTGATACGATACATAAAAAAAAACATATACTGCGGAGTCGCCGATCTTCCGTCGACGGAAGATCGGCAACTTCGACGACATCCGAACAGACGCCGGGCGCAACTGTTTCGAGGTGTTATGTCTAAGTAATGATTGACCTTCGTCACAGTATGACTGAGAGTAACTGTAAGTAAGAGAGTAGTAAGTTTTAAGCAATATCGGAGTTCCTTCGCGGATGATCGGCGATCGAAGATACGTTGAATATGGCGCCAGATCTTTTACTCATATCAAATTAATACAAACTTTAAATAAGCTTACACAAAAGCTCTTTTAAGTCGTCATTTTGTATAAGTGTATTGCAATTTCGAATGCTGTAGTCGGGTACTGGATACTTTGTCACAGGTGATCCGGCTGGTGTCCGCGTTCGGTCCGCTGATCTACGGCGGGTGTTTTGCGGCTACGCTCTCCTCCGCTCTCGCATCGCTTGTGTCCGCACCTAAAGTATTCCAGGTATATATAGTGCAGTGTTGATTGGAGGTAGGAAATATATGTAGTTACAGAAGGTATCTATATATCGACCTATATATTAAATATCGATTATTCAATATATAATATCCAAATGAATATTAAATGAATCCGATCAGTATTGGTAATAGCTGTGTAGTCCCGGCATAGAATTGGCCACCGCTTCCTTTCCCGTAGGTGTCGTAAGAGGCGACTAAGGAAGGGCGGTGTATGGGCAGCAGCTTTCCCCTTAAAAAGTCTCTAAAGTCTAACTGCGGTTGCCAATTCGCCTGTCAGGGGTGGCAGTTATTGGCAAAACCCCCTAAGGGGGAGGCTTATGTTCTGATGGCTGATGAAAGGCTGATGTGATGATGATGAATTTATTTGTTATAAGGTCAGTATATATTGTAAATAAAATAGATATTGCTGTACCTATATATTATCTATCTCTATTTTATAATAAAAATTCCGTTATGATATCAAATTGAAGTTTTTATTTTAGCGATAGGTTTTGAGAATGAAGCCATAGAATCGACCCCGATGTTACTCTGTCTAACACCTCTATACCGGGGGGAAAGGGATTGTTAGTAATGCAGACTACCAGTCCCATTGCTAGCATAATACCCTGTCAGGTCGACCTCCACGAGGTTCCCTCTGGAAACCATTGTGTTGAATTCCAGATGTATTCATCACGATAGGTTATCTGACCTGTCTTTCCATTCTCACCTATCTACCACACTGGTGCCCCGCCAGCGTATACTGTTAGCGCAGTGGGATTTTTTAATGGGTGATAATGGAATGGTAACCCCATCCGCGCTATCGGTATACACCGACGAGGCACCAGTGAAGAATAATAGGTGCGGATGAAGCAGGTCAGTTAGCCCATCGTGACGAATTCAACAAGAATTGTTCACGATGGTTTCCAGGAGGAACCACGTGGAGATCGACTTAATAGGGCATATTGCTAGCAATGGGGCTATCAAACTCCATTGCTAACAATCCTTTCCCCCCTGTGCATTCGGGGTTACCATTCCATTATCATCCATTAAAAAAAAACTCTTGTATACCATGTGATTCGCCGTGGTGCGCAGGCGCTGTGCCAGGACAAGCTGTACCCGTATCTGGAGATCTTCGCGAAGGGCTACGGGGCGAACAACGAGCCCGTGCGCGGATACGTGCTCACATTCGTCATAGCGACCGCTTTCATACTCATGGGTGAGGTTTTTTTTTTACAGTCTGCATATACTAGTGATGTTTTGTCCGTAGACAAAATTTCTCTTTGTTTGCTAAATGTATTTGTTTGACCATAGACAATTCTATCTCTCTCTCTCTCTCTCTCTCTCTCTCTCTCTCTATATATATATATATATATATATATATATATATATATATATATAATAGATTATGTAAGTAAATAAGTTTATAATTAATATTTTATAAGAAATTTTTATTTATATACTTTAAGTAGATTGTTTGCGTGTGTGTGTTTGCAGGCGGTTTGAACCAAATCGCGCCCCTCATCTCCAACTTCTTCCTGGCCGCGTACGCGCTGATCAACTTCGCCACGTTCCACGCCAGCCTCGCCAGGCCTGTCGGCTGGAGGCCCACGTTTAGAGTAAGTAATGGAAATACGTCTTATGGAATTTATTTTATTTTATTTATTTACACTTCGATGCCTAGTTATATAATTAAGTGTACGTATGGCAGACTTAACACCCAATGGCGTTCTCTACCAGTCTACCATGAGGCAAGCGGAGAATTAAGTAGGCGGTGCATTTATTACTAAAATAAACACAAATATTGTTACTAATATCTAATATATAAAATTCTCGTGTCACGGTGTTTGTTACCAAACTCCTACGAAACAGCTTTACCGATTTTCATGAAATTTTGTGTGCATATTGGGTAGGTCTGAGAATCGGCCAACATCTATTTTTTATACTCCTCAATGATAAGGGTGACCCACGTCTAAAATTTATATTTTATTATAAGAAATTTATATTTATATTATAAGATTGTATCAAATTGGTTGGGAGCAAACCTACTTACTTTAAACACTGCAAAATCTAAATATGTTTGTTTTCACAACACCAAAGCATCTAGTCCCCCAACGTCATTATCCTTGATTATCCATAGATATTCATGTGATAATAACAAAATCTGCAGTTGTGATTTCCTTGATAGGGTTCATGAAGTGAAATATTTGGGATTAATCTTGGATCAAAAGTTGACTTTTGCTTCTCATATACAAGTGCTTTCTAAACGTATACGAAAACTTATACACGTTATGAAGCTTCTGCGTAACGGCGCGAGCAAGAATGTTTTATTACTTGTATACAAAAGCATAGCTCAATCACTGTTGATGTACTGCATCACAGTGTGGGGCGGTGCATCAAAATCATATATGATTGCACTTGAAAGGGCACAAAGATCTGTCTTAAAAGTAATGTTTAGGAAACCAATTCGTTTTCCCACCTATCTTTTGTATCAGGAGGCTGCTGTTCTGACAGTGCGTCAACTTTATATACTTAAAGTAGTAATGATGCACCACAAATCTCCTCTCCTCCCGCAAAAACCTTCGGACCAGAGAAGGCGCAAAATAATCATCCCTCGCATTAATACTGCATTTGCAAAGCGCTTTAGTTATTATTCGTGCCCATTTATATATAAAAAACTTAATAATCTCTGCAAACTGGATGGTCTTAACAATGCGGAGGCTAAACATAGGATACAAGGATATTTACAAAATCTTGATTACGATACCACAGAATTAATATTATATACCATTTATTGATATTCGTATATAGTAGTGTATGTCTTTAGTATATTTAATTGTATGTATTTATTTATGTAATATTAGAGTATTTACATAATTTTCTGTTTTATGCGCATGTCTTCACGAAGCACTTCATTTTAACTTAGCTTAGTATTTTAATTTAATTTATATTTGTAAACCACCGTGTCTTGGTAATCTCATATGGACTCCCGCGATACAGGTCCTCCTAGTGCGGGGTCCAATGTACTCGCTGTTGTAATTTTTTTTTGTATTTAATAAATAAATAAATAAAATAAATAAATTTCTTTGACAATTTTTTTTATTTTTTTTTAATATGATTTAGCATTGAAAAATACATACAACTTCTAATTTCCACCTTTTTACGATCAACTCCTGTTTTTTAATCGCGATTTTTATAGGTTTATAGGTTGCAAGATGGCAATCCAATATAATAATTGTAGTACGATAAATTTTCATGTATAGTGCTCATATTGGGAAACTGTAAAGCTAATCCAGTTGATTAAATAAATAAATAAATAAACCGGTTTTTAAAAAAAATATTTTTTATCTAACAGGATGTGCTTTCAAATTGGTCTCATAAAAAATTTTGCGAAATCAGTTCTGTATTTTAGATTTTTAATCAAAGTAACTTAGTTTTGAAGCAAGTTTTATCTTTGGCCACAATCTTATATTTTGTGACAGTTGTACAACATGTGGCTGTCATTGGTGGGCGCGATGATGTGCGTGGCGATCATGTTCGTCATATCGTGGTCCACGGCGCTGATCACGTTCGCCTTCCTTCTCATGCTGTACCTGCTCGTCTCTTATAGGAAACCTGGTAAGCGCTTACAAGAATAAATAATATTTTTTATGCAACTTAGAATGGCAAACAAGCTGACGGCCCACCTGATGGAAAGTGGTCACCGTCGCCTATAGACATGAGCGGTACCATGGACATAACAGAGTATACTGTTTCGCCCATGATACCCCCCGTGTTGCCATTCCTGAGGACTCAGATGTTATTCTTTTGTACCTCTGTAGGAAGACTTTGTACGAAAGTTGTTTGCTTAGATACCTCAGTCCCATTCGTGTTTCAACAATAAAGCAGTTATGTTTGCATGGCTGTGTTTCGGTTTGAAGGGTGGGATATGACAGTGAATTTACTGGGTACAGAGGAATAACACCTCAGTCCTCAGGAATGGCAACGCATGGGGGGTAATTTGATAACACGCAGCTAATTTGACAATTGGCTGACTAAAAGTTGACCCGTTTTTGAGAGTCAATGCTATATATATATATATATATATATATATATATATATATATATATATATATATATATATATATATATATATATATAATCTCATAAATTGTTTACATTACAAGTCTACAAAAATAACACTTCTTATTACAATCGTGTGGTAAGGATGCGTCGTCATTATAACGACTTGCTGCTCGACCACAAATCCATTGACATATTCGATACAAAATATTTGATATTTAGAAAGAACTTGTTTTCTATTTTGTAATAGATAAATAGATAAACACTTTATTTGAGCCATTTATGACACACGTAAATTAACAAATGAGTTTATACAATCAGATTATTTACATTTTTTCAAATATAAAACAAAAGATAAAGTATGGAGATATATTTTCACCAAGTGTGTCGCAGTAATATGATTGAAAATATGTTTTTTTTTTATATATATAGTTTTATATTTTATATATTTATATAACATTTTATGTATTTTCTTTATTTTATGTGTTTGCTTTTCATGAATTACTCAAGGTGTGCACATAATGTAATTGAATTATAACCTAGCCGAATCACAAATGTAACTATTATTTGAATTTTTTATGGTTGTGCTCTGTTTTATGTGCCAATAAAACAAACTAAAAAAATCTAAGATTTAACAGTACAACCCTGTACTTGTTAATAAAGATTTTTTACATTGCATCGTTTTTTTTTATTTTACTTACATATTATTAATGTTACAGACGTCAACTGGGGCTCGACGACTCAGGCGCAGACGTACAAGACGGCACTGACCGGAGTGTATCACCTTAACAGGGTCACCGAGCACGTGAAAAATTATAGGTATGTAAAGAAAGAAAGAAAGAAAGAAAAAGCTTTATTGTCAACCATTTGCATTATAAGACGACAATATTAAATTTTTACAATTAGTTGTAAAAGTGGTCAGCACTCAGTGTTTTTTTTTAATGGATGATAATGGAATGGTAACCCCACCCGCGCTATCGGTATACACCGGCGGGGCACCAGTGAAGGATGATAGGTGAGGATGAAGCAGGTCAGTTAGCCCATCATGACGAATTCAACAAGAATTGTTCACGATGGTTTCCAAGGGGAACTACGTGGACCTAATAAGGTATATTGCTAGCAATGGAGCTGTCATTGCTAACAATCCCTTTCCCCCATAGCACTCAGTGTTGAGCCATGGTAGTTTATTTACTGCCACAGCGTTGTTATTCTGCACGAGCCACACGGTAATTTGAATGGCTCAATGACAGGTATATTTTGTATTAATGCATGATTAATGTAATGGTAACCCCGCCTGCGCTAACAGTATACGCTGGCGGGGCACCAGTGAGGGATGATAGGTGAATAATGAAAAAAGGAGGTCAGTCAGCCCGTCCTTATGAATACACCTGGAATTCAGCACGATGGTTTCCACGAGGAACCGCGTGCAGATCGACCTGACAGTGTATATTGCTAGCAATGGGACTGGTAGCCCGCATTACTAACGATCCCTTCTTCCCTGACAGGTATATTAGATATTAGTTTTCCAGTAAGTAATATAGAAGAGAAGAATCCGTAATGAATATAGATATTCGACTGGTTTGGGCGATATTGCAATGGGTACTCATTAATGTCCAGAAGAACTCAATATATGGATATCGGATATAGATTTTTTTATACAACTTAGAATGGCCAACAAGTTGACGACCCACCTGATGGAAAGTGGTAACCGTCGCCTATAGACATGAGCAGTACCATGGACATAACAGAGTATACTGTTGTGCCCTGTTAGTTTACTGCTATATCCCACCCTTCAAACCGAAACACAGCCATGCAAACACAACTGCTTCACGGTTGAAACACGAATGGAACAGAGGTGCACAAGCAATCGACTTTTGCACAAAATTTCTCTCTGGTAATATTACCTATCTTTAGTTTCAAGCGTAGAGTTATTCGTATACAGGCCACAGATCCTGGTGCTGTCTGGCTTCCCGGCGGAGAGGCCGATTCTGACCGACTTCTCGTACCTGCTCACAAAGGGCCTATCGCTGATGCTGTGTGGACATGTGCTGCAGGTAATAACAATATTACACTATGACATATTTTAGATTATATAGATTTTATGCAACTTAGAACGACAAACAAGCTGCCGGCCCACCTGATGGAAAGTGGTAACCGTCGTCTATAGACATGAGCAGTACCATGGACATAACAGAGTATACTGTTTCGCCCATGATACCCCCATACGTTGCCATTCCTGAGGACTCAGGTGTTTCTTTTTTGATGGGTGAAAATGGTATGGTAACCCCGCCTGCGCTAACGGGATACGCTGGCGGAGCACCAGTGAAGGGTGATAGATGAGAATGAAAACAGGCCAGTTGGCCCATCATGATGAATTCATCAGGAATTAACCATGATAGTTTCCAGGGAGAACCGCGAGGAGGTCGACCAGGTTGGGCATATTGCTAGCAATAGGATTCTCAGTCTCCATTACTAACAATCCCTTTCCCCCCAAGAGGACGCAGCTGTTATTCCTCTGTACCTTGTAAATTTATTTTTTATTTATTTCGAATTAGGCGCACCAACGGTATACATATTATACATAAATTAAATGACATTTTTTGTGTAGCATGCTGATATGCATACCTATAGCAGGTGTTAGTTGGTGAATCGGTTTAGTAAATTAGTTGCACCGAAAAGAGGAAACTCTTAAATGAAAAGAGAAAGCAGGTGTACACAACTTTGACTACAGATTACATGCATATAAATATAAATAATTTAATAAATTAAATTTATAATATATTACGAGTATTTAATTAATAAAATATAATAAATTTAATTCACTGTCATATCTCACCCTTCAAACCGAAACATAGCCATGCAAACACAACTGTTTCACGGTAGAAACACGAATAGGAAAGAGGTGCCCAAGCAAACGACTTTTATACAAAGTCTCCCTCTGGTAAACTAATTCTGGTAACTGTTTGCCATTTCTAGTTTAATATAATAAAAAATATTGTACTATCAGGGCCAAGTGAGCCACCGCGCGCGCGAAGCTCTCACCAACCGCGCCTACCACTGGTTCGTCAAGCGGAAGATGAAGGCATTCTACACTGTAGTTGACGACAGCGGCTTCAAAGATGGCGCCAGTGCGCTTATACAGGTATTATTCATAATCATAATATCTTTTATATAATATCATTGAAAATACTTGTATTTTTTTTAATGTAATATTACTAGTGATCTGCCCCGGCTTCGCACGGGTGCAATGCTGATAATAAATAGCGCCGGCGGTCCCCCATTACATTGTGACATCACATTAGAAACCTCTAAAATTATCAGTGTTCCTCTACTGTATTATGCATGTATTGTACATATAAACCTACCTCTTATTTCACAGTATCTACTAAAAATACCTATATATATATATATATATATATATATATATATATATATATATAACTAAATATATAAAAACATAGAATAACTAACATATAAGTAACTTAACTGTTTTCATACATATTGAGGGTGATTGCTCCATCTATGTACGTTTAGTCCATAATGACAAAAGACGTGATTTATGCACGCAGGCGAGTGGTCTCGGCAAGCTGAAGCCTAACATCCTGATGATGGGCTTCAAGGAGGATTGGCAGAGCTGCGATCGGTCCGAGGTCGTCGACTACGTAGAGGTCATGCAGTGAGTGTTGCCTTATTAAATACATGTTTTGCTAACTTTTACGGCTGACTTCGTCCACGTGACAGAGATTATGTGTTTGCCCGCGATAAAAAATCTATGTACTTCTCCATCCCAAATAGTAGGTATGTGTGAAATGTCGTGGCAGTTGGTTACGCTGTTAGAACACCAAGAGGTAAACAAATAAATAGTAAAACCTTAAATTATTGAGATACAGTGTCTTTTGTTTCCATAGAAATGCTTCGAGAGAAACGAGTCAACTTTTTCATACAATTTTGCCTGATAAATAGTCATGAGTGATTCCTTCATAACTTCTATATTTATTTTGTCTTATAAATACTGCATCTTTCTAACGCGTAAACACCTATTTTATTTATTAAATAATACGTCAAGGTACAAAAAAAAGATTGATGAATGTGGAAGAAGCGAAAGAGGTTTGTTTGAATCGAAGCATTTGGCGTTCCATTGTTTCTGCTGCCTGCCCTAATGGGAGACAGGCGCGACAGATATGTATGTATGTACGTCAAGGTACATTTTATGCGTAAATATATAGAATACTGAACAAAAAACGACTCAGATAATTTGACAATTAGCTGAAAAAAACTACCAGTTTTCGAGGCTCGATGCTCTATCTATATAATTAAGGAGCCAAACAAATTTACTATCATATTATATATCATTAGTTATAGGAAACGGATTTTTTTTTTATAAAGCTTATAGTAAACAGAAGTCTATATAAGTCTAAGACAACGTTTACTTGATATCTCTAATCGCCCAGTTGATATTTTGGAAATGTCAAACGAAATTGTACCTAATAAATATTTACAGCATTTTTTTAATTTACTTTATTTGTTAAATTTGGCACCGATACTCGTAGCATTGCAATTAAACGGCCCGGAGCAAGAGGGTTAAAATCGATTCGAGTCCATTTTTTAATTGTTCCCCCTTAACTATCAAATTGCCCCCCTGTGGGGCGTGGGCCCCACGTTGGGAAACACCGCCCTATATTGTATAATGCGAATAAAGTATACTCATTAATTCATCCTCTATTTTAAACTCGCACGGCCGTCCACGCAGCAAGGCGCTGGATATGCACATGGCCCTGAGCGTGCTGCGGGTGGAGGGCGGCCAGTCCGCCGGCGCCGCGCTGGACGGCGACCTCCAGGAGTACCTGCAGCACCTGGCGCATCTCGCGCCCCTCGACCGGCTGGACAGGGAGCGTGAGTAACCACCATACCACACGCTAATTCAAACATCTCTTTATTCGAACTTAGTAACATCAAATAAGAAGACGGGAAAGGAAGGGATGGCCTATTCTATGCAAGGACTACACGTCGAAGTTAGAAACATTGGACAATTTTCAATGTTTCTAACTATTTAATAATTAAATATTGTGTCCTATAAAAAATAGGCTACGGTAACCACTTACCATCAGGTGGGCCGTATGTATGTTTGCCATCTCAGTGGTATAAAAAAATTTACTTCAATTGTGACAAAGTTTAATTATTTATAATTAAATTATTTAATTTAATTTGTTTTAAAAATTGTACTACTCAACGGATTTTGATAAAATTTCTATGGGAATCCAATCCAATCTTCTATCCATATCCTTACACGTAAAAAATAATAATATTCCAAATCGGCTTAGAAGTAACGAAGTTATGAGGTACCAACCGTGAAAAAAAGAATTACAACCGAATTGCGAACCTTCTTCTGTTTGAAGTCCGTTGATAAGTTCTCTACTAGCGAATTAAAACCAATATTTGAATTTGATTTGTTTCAACAATGAATATAAATTTTTGAAACATACATAAAGGGTTCGGGAAGTGGATGATTTTATTTTATTGGTGAAATAAATTAAGGGGATATAATTCATGTTCAAAATTAAAGGACAAAATGGTTAAAAAATAAATTTGACAGCTATGTTTTTTTTTTCTGCAACGGACATTAAAAAGGTATCCAGACACGATCAACTTAAAGTGAATTCGTTCTTTTATATAATTTTTGGGCATTCAATGTTATGATGGAAATTTCCACCATTATGCAAAGATGGGTTAATTTGATAAACGATCTAAAGTTTGTAAAGAGAGTTTTGGCGTTACTTTACTTGATTTATATGTTTGTTTATTTGTGTAATGGGTGCTTCAGGTGGGAGTGAGACGTCTAATCATAATTATTTGTATCTTACAATGTTATTGTTTTATGACTAACTAAGCCTTCATGTACATCTAAAACACTGTGTGCTTTCTAATTAATCCGTCAGTCAATATCAAAAGTTTTTATAGTATTTTAAATTAATTTTAAAGAAAGAAAGAAAAAAAAAAAATTTTAATTTTTAATTTAATCATCATCATATCAGACTTTAACTGTCCAAACATAAGCCCTCTTGGGGGGGGAGGGGTTGCTAGTAGTTGCAATGCTTTGCAGGCGGGTTGGCAACCGCAGTTAGGCTTTGGAGATGTTTTAAGAGGGACTCTGCTGTCAATCCCTCGCCCTCTTAGTCGGCTCTTACGACACCCACGGGATAGGAAGGTGTGGCCTATTCTATGCCGGGATCATACGGGAATTTAAATAAATTTAATTCATAGACTAGGATTAAAAATATTATATTTGTATGTTTCGTAAAAAGTTTTTCAGTTTTATGAATACTAAATTATGTATTGGTTTACTTTGTGCTGGAAACTATAGGGTGATAAGAGACATTAAAATGCCTTTAAACGAGTATGTAACGAAATAAATTGTGATAATTTTTTCATAGAAAACAAGGATAGAAATATAAGAAATAATTTTTACTCTTTCGCTCTACGGAAAGCTGACAATTTCTTGTCGGTTTGTATACATACTGTCATAAAAAAATATTAATCTATTTAACAACATCCTCTATAGTTGATGGACAGACCAAAATAGTAACTCTTTCTATTGTGTAACCATTAATTTCATGAACGCACAAAGAATATTTACAATATAAAATAGGACTTATGATATATAATTATAAAGATCATTTTTAAATGAACGTTTTGATATTGACTGTGTGTGTGTATTTATGTCGTGTTGCCGATACACCGACACGCCGTCCATCATATGCTTGTGCGCAGGTTCTATGGGAGACAACCACAAGGAATCTAAGTCTACGGAGAGCTTGAACACACAGTCAGTTGGTATGTCGCTTGTTTTTTTTTATTATTGGGAAAAAATTGAATTTATTTTAACCTTTTTTTTTATTTAATGAGGCCAATAGTAAATGTAACACAAGAATATAGAAATAGGTTTTTATTCAAATTTGGCCAGATGTGCCATCCATCACTTTAATCACGTACTGGTAAATAGATCGTTGTCTAGCATCTCTTTCTAGCGGCGTCTTCGATTGGAGTGTAAGCGAGATGGCAAATAACTGGAAAGGTCATATGAATTCCAATTTACTGGCTTCAATTTTGTGTTCACATTCAGATGTCTAAATTTTAAGCTTTTGTCTTTATTTAACTGTAATAAATGTAATAAATTCCACACGTGTAACTTTGTATTTATTAATACAGTTTGTTGGTGGTGGGTTTATTCATCATCATCATCATCATCATATCAGCTGTAATCTGTCCTCAAATACAAATAGCTTTATTTTGTTTGAAAAATGGTATAAAAGATGGTATATAATATTTAAATATTGTTCACATTTTTCACCAGAATCTGGCGTACAAAATTTATTTAATTGTGCCACCATACTATGCTAATACTATTTTACTTATATCGTCATATTATATATAAATGGCAATATATTTACGTATTAATAATAAATTATACAGATTACAAATTACAATTTACATTAATTGAGTCACATATTTAAGCTTTAAAACATTCAAAATATTCATTAACCGAGTAAAAACATTTTTCTACCAGCCATCTTTTTAGTTTCTTTTTAAATATCAAGGGTAGTGTTTTTATTTCGTCCGTTGATTTATTATAAATGCTTATTGTCATACAGTAGGCATTTCTGCTATACAAAGTTGTAGTTTACTGAACCTCTACTAAACATAGGCCTCCCCCATATACTGCCATAAAGAACAACTTCGAGTCATCCGAATTTTGATGGTTTTATTAATGTTAATTAATTATCTTAAGCAATGTAATACAATAATACTATTTATGGTAATAGACAAAATGACTACCATAGGGAGACTTTGTACGAAAGTCGATTGTTTGGGTACCTCTGTCTTGAACATCTGGCGTGAATTTACTGGGTACAGAGGAATAACATCTGAGTCCTCAGGAATGGCAACGCATGGCGGGTATGATGGGCGGAATAGTATACTCTGTTATGTCCGTGGTACTGCTCATGTCTATAGGCGACGGTTACCACTTTCCATCAGGTGGGCCGTCAGCTTGTTTGCCATTCTAAGTTGTATAAAAAAAGAACAATAATAGTTTCTAGAGAGCGCGCTTGGATGCCGACTTGATAGATTCTATTATACAACTTAGAATGGCAAACAAGCTGACGGCCCACCTGATGGAAAGCGGTAACCGTCGCCTATAGACATGAGCAATACCGTGGACATAACAGAGTGTACTGTTTCGCCCATGATACCCTTCATGCGTTGCCATTCCTGAGGACTGAGGTGTTATTTCTCTGTACCCAGTAAATTCACGCCATATCCGACCCTTCAAACTGAAACACAGCCATGCAACTGCTTCACGGTTGAAACACGAATAGGACAGAGGTACCCAAGCAATCGACTTTTGTACAAAGTTTCCCTCTGGTGTATTTGGTACTATTCCGGCAAATGATAATTTGCCCAATACTTTTGTCCAATATTACAAGTAAGTACTAGTACAAGGTTTTCAATACATATATACATACATTAAGTATGTACTTGTCTCGTGTGTGTATAAGACTGATTGTGGAATTATGTATATACAGGTAGCAGTCTATCCGACGTGTCTATGGGTTCGCCTGAGCTGCGTCGCGCGGGCGTGTCCGACGACCCGGCCGCGCTGTCCGCCGCCAAAGAGTCGGACAAGAAGTCCGAACACAAGGAGAGGTAATGTTTTATGAGAATTTAACTTATGTGTTAGTTATTTAAGTCGAATCTTGCAAGCTGATTAGAATCAGTTTCTGCTATATAATTTTGCTGACTAGTTAATTCAAAATGGCCGCCGTCACAAAATGGCAGATGGCATTTATTTTGTCAATCATGTTAATATGTTAATTGGTAGCTAGTTTTATTATATTTAGCGTTTTATTATTAAAATTAGCTTTAATTCTGTTCATTTTTCGAATATATCCAGTGGTATATATTATTTAATAGTGACTTTTGGCTTCGCTTAAGTGGAATGGTAAAAAATATATTGGTACATTATAAAAAAATACAGCTATATTATTTGCTGATAATGTAGCTTTCTATTGGTTTAAAGGATTTTTTTTTTAATTGGTTAAGTATTTATTGTGTTTATCCATTACAAACACAAAAATCAAAACTTTCCCTTTTCAATATTAGTTTTGAGTAAATTTTATTCCATTTTCACTTATCAAAGAAAAAAAATAATATGGCGAGTGTCGTTTGTGGGCAGCAAGGGTCTGGGCAACGCGGTGAGGCGCGCGTTCGGCGCGGGCGCAGCGCGGCGCGCGTCCTCGTTCACGTCCGTGGAGCAGTTCACGCGGCGCCGCGCCGGCACCGTCGACGTCTGGTGGCTCTACGACGACGGAGGTGCGGCCCTGCATGCACACGCACGCACGCACGCACGCACGCACACGCACACGCACACACACACACACACACACACGCACACGCACACGCACACGCACGCACGCACGCACACACGCACACACACTCACACACTCACACACACACGCACACACGCACACGCACAATTATGCGTTACAAATAGTTACAAGTGATTCCTTTGTAACTTCCATTTTATATTATTTATTCATTAGTACACATATCGTCATAGTCGTAGAATAGTGACGGATCTTTATATGTAACATTCGTCAGATTCGTCAGTATTCTACGACTACGACGATATGTGTCCATGGCGGACTTAATGCTAAAAGCATTCTCTCCCAGTCAACCATAGGGAAGTGTCAGAATACTCGAATGCGGTACTAATAATTATTGATATACATACATACTAAAATTACATATATAAACGAATAAATATATATAAATGTAGGTCCGAGGAGCCAGAAATAAAAGTCTTCCTTTACAAGCGATTTAACCTTTATAAAATTGCAAAACCAAATTTTAGAAATAATTCGTAGGAGCACACACACGGTCGTTCATTTGTCGTCCATCTTAATCTTTCTCTCCCACCCGTTCCTCTCTTCACTCCACATCAGTCTCTTTTCATTTCCTCATATTCCAATCTATGCATACAACATTCACTATTAACATACGTTCCGTTTCATACCAATCCCACGTTAATAACAAATATACTTACACATACATAAAACATTCTATATTATACAAGAAATTAAGAATAATATAAAGTACTTACTGCTCGGATAAAGTAAAAAAGTGAGCGTTAACGTAACTTCTATATTTATTTTATCTCGTAATTTCTGCATCTTCTTAATGCTACTTATTTTATTTGTTAAGTAATACGTCAATGTACATTTTAAATATAGATGTACATATATAATACTGATTAAAAAAAAACTAATCAGCTAATTCGACAATTAGCTGACAGAAAGTTGAGCCGTTTTTAATACTCGAATGAATGAATGAATGAATGAATTATTATTTACTAAATTTTGGTGATTATAAGTACCAGTAGCAGATCTTAAAATTAATCGATTCTCTATCTACATAATCTAAGGTCCACACATACATTTATATTATTTAGTGCTTTATATTATTTCCAAATTCGTGTACAATATAGTATATGTTATATATGTGTAAATATATTTGTTATTTATATATATTTATTCGTTTATATATGTAATTTTAGTATGTATGTATATCAATAATTACTAGTACCGCATTCGAGTATTCTGTCACTTCCCTATGGTTGACTGGGAGAGAATGCTTTTAGCATTAAGTCCGCCATGTACACATATATGTACTAATGAATAAATAAATAAAAAATAAAAATACATTTTTATACATATACGAGTAATAGGCTGACGGTCCATCTGATGGAAAGTGGTAACCGTCGCCTATAGACATGAGCAGTACCATGGACATGACAGAGTATACTGTGTCATCCATTATGACATTATTATTGTCCCTCTATGAGTTATCAATATTTACATTTATTTAATTTAAAACTTTAGAGTTGCACGATTTCTAGTTTACTAGCTTTCATCCGACGGGGAAATTGTCCCATTCGTGTTTCTACCGTGAAGCAGTTGTGTTTGCATGGCTGTGTTTCGGTTTGAAGCGTGGGATATGGCGTGAATTTACTGGATACAGAGGAATAACACCTGAGTCCTCAGGAATGGCAACGCATGGGGGGTATCATGGGCGAAACAGTATACTCTGTTATGTCCATGGTACTGCTCATGTCTATAGGCGACGGTTGCCACTTTCCATAAGGTGAGCCGTCAGCTTGTTTGCCATTTTAAGTTGTATAAAAAAAAATTAAGCCCGAAAATTCGAAATTTCGTTTAATGGTAAACCAGGTCTGACGCTCCTGCTGCCGTACATCCTGTCGACGCGGCGCGCGTGGTCGACGTCGCCGCTGCGCGTGTTCACGCTCGCCAACAAGAACACCGAGTTGGAAATTGAGGAGAGGAAGTGAGTTTACCCATTTTTTTTTATACCACTGAGGTGGAAATGAAGCATACGGCCCGCCTAATGGTAAGTTGTTACCGTAACCTATGAACACCTGCAATACCAGAGGTATTACGCGCGCGTTGCCCACCCTGAAGAAACCTCTTTACCCCCCTTTTGAAGAACCCCATGCTGTAGTCTCTTGGGAAAACCTCGGCAGGGAGCTCATTCCATAACCTGAGTGTTCGTGGGAGGAAACATCTCTGAAATCGCGTTGTACGCGCCCATTGAAGCTGTGTATGAGGTATGAGGGTGAACTCCCTGTCGATGGCGAGTCGATCCCATTTGTTATTGAGAGTTCATAGCTTTAGCTTACAGTAGTATAGTTACGTCGCAACTGTTAGTTAATTTTCAATAACAATTGGTGAATTTTATTTATTTATTTATTTTATTTTATACTTTATTGTACACACTAATCTATCTATACTTATAATAAATCTGTAGTGAGGTCAATTCTGTACATGAAATATATTTCCAAAATAACTATCAGGCGGTGATTAGTGATCGATACTGATGCCAAAAATGCAATCAGTAAAATTTTTATCTGTCTGTCTGTATGTTCGTTATAGAAACAAAAACTACTCGACGGATTTTATCGAAACTTGGTACAATTATTCTCCATACTCCTGAGCAGGTTATAGTATGTAAGAGAAATGTGTCTGTTACATTAAAACCACTGAACCGTGAGGAAGGACATAGGCTACTTATTTTACGAAAAACGACGGAAACGTATTAATTTGCGCGCATTACTACTTTTGACTGGTTAAGAGTTTTGTGTGTGTGTATATATATATATATATATATATATATATATATATATATATATATATATATATATATATATACACCGGCGGGGTACCAGTGAAGGATGATAGATGAGGATGAAGCAGATAAGTTAGCCCATCGTGACGAATTCAACAAGAATTGTTCACGATGGTTACCAAGGGGAACCACGTGGAGGTCGATCTAATAGGGCATATTGCTAATGAGGTTGTTAAACGTTGTTGTGCGTGCCGCACTACCGGCACAAAATATCTACAAATATCTATGGTTATCCAGTATGGCGTCTCTCCTATCCAAGTTCCGCATCGACTACTCAGCGCTGAAAATGGTGCCCGACATCACGAAGCGGCCGCGTGACTCCACACTCGCCTACTTCGACAAACTGATCGCGCCGTTCAGGTCTGAGGACAGCAGTGACAACAGTAAGTATACTTTATTCTAATCCTCAGGTTTCCTTCATCTTATAACCTCGGATTCTTCAAACGTAGCGTGGAAAAGCACTTAGTGATCTGGCATGGTGTTGACCGTTGAGACTAGAACATTCTCTTTTCGGTTGGCCCTATTCATGGAGCATGTCGTCTCTTTGTTCACACAGGGTGGTGTGTTCACATGTCGTGCCATAATAAAAAAGCCGGCCAAATGCGAGTCGGACTCGCACAACAAGGGTTCTGTACAAAATTGTAAACTTTAATTTTTTTTGTAAAGAACAACAAATTTATGGTTTTCGCATTTTTTTCTTTACTTTTGTTACATGACATTGCTTCTGGACAAATTTCATTATTCTAGGTGTACGGGAAGTACCCCATAGGTTTTGATTCCCTTTGCGAATGTCAAAACATGCGACATAAATGGAACATAAACGGCCGTGTCTTTTGACTGCGTCGATTTAGAAGCTTGATTTTTTCACTGCTTTAAGAGACTGCAGACCTGAGTATATGATATTAATTTTCACTCGATACCTCCACGCGTTCTTAAAAAAAAAAAAAACGGTTTTGACAGATAGACAGACGGATTGGCGGAGTGATCCTATAAGAGTTCCATTTTTTCCTTTGGGAGGTGCGGAACCCTAAAAATATTGAGCCTTGTAAGGTGTTTCTACCTAGTCTAAAGTTTCTGTACATGGGTGGTTGGTTTCATAAAAAAAAAATTGTGCAGCCGGCATCACGGAAGCGGACCTGGTGGCGGCGCGCGAGCGCACGCACCGGCACCTGCGGCTGCGCGAGCTGATCGCGGCGCAGTCGGGCGGCGCGCGGCTGGTGTGCGTGACGCTGCCCATGCCGCGCCGCCGCGCCGTCGTGCCGCCGCCGCTCTACGTCGCCTGGCTGCACGCCATCGCCACCGCCGCCGACCGCGTGCTGCTCGTGCGCGGCAACCACGCCGCCGTCCTCACCTTCTACTCTTAGCTCCAAGTGGCACGAGTACCCGCCGGCTCGTATCCGGCTCCAAGGGTTATATGTATTCTATTACAGATTCTAAACACTACATATATGTTTTACATTCCATCTTCTAGCGAGACTCGGACTTGTGCAGTTGATCGTGTCCGGCTCGAAGGACTATGTGCACGATCTATTCTGGTACAAAACTACAGTACTACATTTCAAGTCCCAGCGAGACTGGGTTTTGTCAATTTAGTTGTATCCGGTTCGAAGGACTATACTCGATTCATGTCACACTTTCCGACTCGAAGGACCATACCTACCTTATATTGTTTAATCACTAGCGAGACCTCACTCGCTTATTTATATCCGGCTCGAAGGCCGAATTTATTACAAAGTCTTGTTAAATGAATCATCAGTATTGTTACGACTTTAATTAAGCATTACACGCTGATAACTTCTTTTTATTATTATAAATACAAACTGTACCCGTGTAATTTTACGCAGAATTGAGAAAAATCTCATAGTAATATGTTAATTAAGAAAGTTAAAGCAAGTCATACTAAGACCTAGTTCGGGAATTGTTTATCTTAAACAGCCAGCCAACCTAGACGAGTAGTTCAAACGGTTCTATCGAGAGAATCGATACGGTTAGCGCCCGCATGGGAAAGAATAAGGATCGGATATTACCATCTCATATTACCCGCATCGGATATTACCATCTCATTTTCAATCGACTTTAAAGAAAAGAGTTTCTCAATTCGGTTGTATATATTTTAATACCGGTTTTTATTATGTTTGTTACCTCATAACTCCGTCATTTATAAACCGATTTGGAAAATTCTTTTGTTTTTTAAAAGGATATAGTTACAGATTGACCCTATAGAATTTTTATCAAAATCGGTACAGTAGTTTAGTTTTTAAATCTGGTTTTGCTACATTTGAAGTCTGTATTTTTGTGGAAGTAAATCTACTTGTATCGCACGGGTTTGCTTAGCAGTAACTACTATATTATCAATACATATATATTACCACTTGGATAGGAAACTAACATTAGAACTATTTCATACTTCGACTTGAGACAAATATTTCGTCTCATATATAAATTAAACAAGTTACCATGGCAACGTGCCCGTGACATATATAGCGTCTATAGGTTACCGTAACCCCGTTTACCATCAGACGGGCCGTATGTTTGTTCATTACTATATTAGTATAAAAAAAAACTTTTAACAGTAGACTTTTGGGGTCCATTCTGAGGCGCTGTTTTTCCAAACCTATCTCTATAATAAAAAATTCAATTTAATTTCACAGATTTTTTTATTGTAAGGACTAATTTTTTAATAGATCTAAGTCGATTGCTTGGGTACCTCTGTCCCATTCGTGTTTTTACCGTGAAACAGTTGTGTTTGCATGGCTGTGTTTCGGTTTGAAGGGTGGGATATGGCGTGAATTTACAGGGTACACAGGAATAACACCTGAGTCCTCAGGAATGGCAAAGCATGGGGGGTATCACGGGCGTAACAGTATACTCTGTTATGTCCTTGGTACTGCTCAGGTGGGCCGTTAGCTTGTTTGCCATTCTAAGTTGTATAAAAAAAAAGTCAAAATTATTGTAATCATAGTTTATGACGATTCGAAAGATAAGTTTAGAATAATGGCACATCACAATCTTATCCAATGCCAGGTTCAAAATAAACCTGTAAAAATGTATATTTAAAAAATATTTTTTTATAATCTTTACACTTGGACAATATGAAGACTGTACAAGATATAAATGTACCTACAATATTATATAAGATACAATATGTATTTTTTACACGTATTTTACAATAAATTTAAACACATAAATTTTTATTAAATCCAATGTAATATCGAATTTTTGATATGATAGACAATTTATTTACATTACTTACAGCACACAAATTACAATGAAATAAAAAAAAAAAAAAAAAACATACACGTAATACACAGCAAAAGAGACAAAAGAATAAAAATAAAAAAAGCACAAATAAAAAAAAAATACAAAAACAAAATACATAATCTAACAATCTCCTCTGTTACCATTCCTTCACGCGTGTGCCATAGTAACACAAAATGGTGACAGCTCAGTTTATTGCTTTGCCCTTAAAAGAGCAATGATATGTCTTTTCGAGAAATTTATATCGTTTAGATATATAATTTATGTCGTTTTAGTATTTATTATATAATCTAGTACTATTTTTAATATGAATTTATACTGTTTTATATATTATTAAATAATAATTAATTTCATAATTACTGACACACATATTTTTAAAAGATCTTTTTTTTTTACCATAGTATAAGAACTTGGAATGATATTTTTTTTTTTATTAAACTTTATGACAAGGTATTAGATATATTTTCGACTAATCATAGATTATATATAGATAGAGCGTCTCCATACAAACTTATTTTGAGAGAAGCGGCTCAACTTTTCCATACAATTTTGCTTATGAGTGACTCCTTTATAATGTCTATATTTATTTTGTCCGTCCCGGCGTCGCACGGGTGGACATTTTTAACATTTCCCTTCACTGCTCTGCTCCTATTGATCGTAGCGTGATGAAAAGTATACTATAACCTGCCCAGGAGTATGAAGAATAATTGTACCAAGTTTCGTTAAAATCCGTCTAGTAGTTTTTGTTTCTATAACGAACATACAGACAGATAGACAAAAATTTTACTGATTGCATTTTTGGCATCAGTATCGATCACTAATCACCCTCTGATAGTTATTTTGGAAATATATTTCATGTACAGAATTGACCTCTCTACAGATTTATTATAAGTATAGATTATAATTTTTGCATCCTTTTAATGCGTAAACACTCATTTTATTTATTAAATAATCAAATATAGATACGTCAAAATACATTGTGTGCGTAAATATATATATAAAACGAGTCAGCTAATTTGACAATTGGCTGACAAAAAGTTGATCCGTTTTTGTGTCTCGATGCTCTGTCTATATAGTCTAAGCGACTTTTATATTATACATATTACAGATTTGAAGAGAATGACAAATATGTAATAGAACAAACTGACGGTACTGACGAATATTACATATATAGATCCGTCAGTATTCTACCACTATGACGATGTAATAGAAATCATGAGTCATTAAAATTTCATAGATTCACTTGAATTTTTCTAGTAGTAGCTTTTGAATTGTGCATCGCGAAAAGAAATACAAGAATATTAATTGGTGACAATGTACGTTAATTGTAATAACGGTAGGTATAATTTCGTTTGAAGACACGTGATTTTTGATATGTATGTATGTAGTTTATTGCAAAAGAACTTAGTGAGAAAAGTGAGCAAGTTTCATTGAAATTTTACATAGAAACATCTCTTTAAATGAAATTAGTAACGAATCGAAATAATAATTCAATTAAACGATTTTTTATTTGCATTACTATTTCTTTTTTTTTTAATAATAAAGTACTTTATTTTCTCCGCAATACCAGTAGTGAATCTATTATATCTAATGTAAGTTATTACAAGAGATTTATTTTCGAAGATTACATAAGTAACTATTGGATATTTATTTATTTAAACTTTATTGGACAATAAAATATGGTACCAAATGTAGACTTAATGCTATAGGCATTCTCTACCAGTCAACCTTTAGGAAGTGGAGAAATACGTAGAGATAGTGCTTAAACAAAAAAATTATATTTTAATATAATATAGCAAATAACATTCATAAAATAAACATACATATTAATATAGTATGTGGAAAAAGCAGCCAGCTTTCCAGCATACTGATACCTAAATATAAAACTGCATTGTAAACTATATATATATATATATATATATATATATATATATATATATATATATATATATATATAATATATATGGATATATGATTTAATATACAATGGCGACTTATCCCATTATCTCTTACAGTCAATATATATATATATATATATATATATATATATATATAATAACCGTACAATTAAAGATAAACTAAATAATAGCCAGTAAAACATTGAATATATAATACAATAAAAACAGCTGTATACACCTACATATGTAAAGTTTTCATTAAGTTCTCTTGAAATGGACTATATATTTTTATTTTTTATTTAACAAAATTCAATTTTTTTGTACGCAATAGTGGTACTTAGTTCTATTCTTATTTTCTTTGTACTCTTACCATGTGATAAATTTTTCATATTCTATTTTTTTTTTGAGAAATTTAAATGTTAAACACAGTGTCAAAATGTAAAAAGAACTTTATTATGTATGCCTGTATGTTTAATATCACGAAACATTCCGCCAATGTGCCGCAAGTACAAAGTCATCTACTTATTGACCGAGCAAGTACATAAGTGTGACGATTACTAAGAAAATTTTAGTTTTAAATTATTTATGTATTAATATTAATGTTTTTTTTTTAATAAATATTTTAAATACACACTCGGGATTTGACGTGGTGTAAAAGCTTTTACAGGTGAATAGTACCTACATACCTGCTTCTTTATTGGCGACGTTTCGACGTGGACCGCACCGCGTCGTGGTCACGACAGGACTGAAGTAAGCGGTATTTTTGTCTGGCAGCTCGCGCAGTTTATTCAGCTACCCTAACATTGTCATTATTATTATCTAGAGCAGGGGTTTCCAAACTTATTTTGTGTACTGCCCACTTTGAGAATAAACTTTCAAGAAAAGAGCGTATTCCTTTTTAAAAGGCCGGCAGCACACCTGCAATGCCGCTGGTGTTGTGGGTGATCATGGGCGGCGGTAGTCACTTACCATCAGGTGAGCCGCATGCTCGTTTGCACCGTGTTGTAAAAAAAAAATTATAGTGAAAAAAAAGAATAGTGACAATGTGAACGAATGCAAACGAATACGCCGGTCACTTCAGTCCCGTCGTGACCACGACGCGGTGCAATCCACGTCGAAACGTCGCCAATAAAGAAGCAGGTATGTAGGCACTATTTACTTGTAAAGGCTTTTACATCGCGTTAACTCCCGATTGTGTATTTAAAATATGTGTAAACAATGCGAGTTTAAAATTTACTGTAATATTTAATATTGCATAGGAAGCGTGTTTTGTGTGTGTTTTATCTATGTATATTCGTATATTTTATTCGTATATTCTAAGTAATTTAGAAATTATATATATATATATATATATATATATTATAGAAACATAAATTCTAACGTGACGATAGAACAATATATCATAATCCGTGCCTTTATACATCTTTCTAATATATTTTGATAGAATTTTCACATTTGACATGAGTTAAAATGACATCTTTTAAGATTTTACTGCCTTAAAACTGAACTGATTTTGTCAAAGAAAACTATGGACGTTTTATACCTATTGAATAATTAACAAAATAACTTACTCCACTCACATCCTGTTTTACGATGGCTACTTAATGAGATTTTTCTTTTAAAATTAATATAAAAAAATATACATTCAGCCGAGAATTGGTGATTTTAACGCATTTTTTAATTAATTTTAGTTCGGAATTCATATCATATTTATTCAAATACACTTGTTTACAAGCAGTGTTAAGTCGTTGTTTATTTTTTAATCTATCGCAATTCACAGTAGACAATACACATATATAGGGGGAAAGGGATTGTTAGTAATGGAGATAGAGAATCCCATTGCTAGCAATATACCCAACCAGGTCGACCTCCTCGCGGTTCTCCCTGGAAACTATCATGGTTAATTCCTGATGAATTCATCATGATGGGCTAACTGGCCTGTTTTCATTCTCATCTATCACCCTTCACTGGTACTCCGCCAGCGTATCCCGTTAGCGCAGGCGGGGTTACCATACCATTTTCACCCATAAAAAAAAAATACACATATATATCGCGACAGAGACAAATATCGGGTTCAAAAAGTTGTTATCTGTTGAGAAGAGCCCATAATACCTTGGTATACCTTTTTTTTTAATTAATCTATCAACTACTAGCGATCCGCCCCGGCTTCGCACGGGCGCACATTACATTACGTCACATTAGAAACCTTTAAAATTATCAGTGTTTTTCTACAATATTATGTATATATTATACATATAAACCTTCTTCTTGAATCACTATATTTATTAAAAAAAAACCGCATCTAAATCCGTTGCGTAGTTTTAAAGATCTAAGCATACATATGGACAGACAGAAAACGGGAAGCGACTTTGTTTTATACTATGTAGTGACAGTTTATTAAAATGTTTTTATAAATAACAAAAACAAACGGCCGATTTCTAAAATTCATCTCCGAACGTATTTATAAAAGAATTAGTTTCATTTTATTTCGGAACACTTTTGGGTGTTACTTTTGTATGGGACATATTATATGAATCTAGGATCATTTTTGTATCTATGTTTTGTACAGTTGGTAGTATTTTTTTTTTTTTATAATTACATAGTGCTGTTACGACATACGTATAGGCTCTAATAAGACATCGGCTGAATATAAATCGATTGTACGCCATGAATTAATCGATCGATCCTTAAATGTAACTCTAGTACCAAGTAGTAACAATGAATCTCAATTAGAATCCCACGGTTACAATATCTTTTAAATTATATGTATAAAATGTATATATTAAATATATATATTTTGTTTAATGTATAACAATAGAGTGGTAACTCTGCCTGCGCTAATAGTATACGCTGGCGGGGCACCAGTGAAAGATGATAGGTGACGATGAAAGCAGGTCAGTTAGCCCATCGTGACGAATTCCACTAGAATTAACCACGACGGTTTCCAGGGGAAACCACGTAGAGGTCGACCTGATAGGGTATATTGCTGACCTCATTACTAACAATCCCTTTCCCCCTATACGGGACAGTTAGAGTCCATGTTTTTTAACGATTCGTACAAATCGATTTTACGATATTTAAAGATGTAATCGATTATAAAAATTAAAGATAATATGTTGAGAATGATAAGTATGCCGTTTTATTTTATTTATTTACACTTTACTGCACCATTTATAAAATAGTAAATACATTTAACTGTAATAAGAAATGATACAAAAGGCGGCTTTATCGCTAAGCAATCTTTTTTCAGACAACCTTTGGGTAGAGGACATTGAGAAAAAGACAAAGAGTAGGTGGCGCACTATTATATATAAACAAATATATATACATATATATATTTATTAAGTAATAGTAAATTATTTTTGTTACAAGGTCTCATTTTAATATCGAATTATAAAATGACAAATCAATAACGGGTAAAATGTTTATAATATTACTTACAAAGCGATATTTTTAATATGTTTAATATTTAAGCCCCTTATTCGGAAAACTTTAACCTCTCATAGATTTGTTTTAGCTATTATAAGTGGGTAATATATAGCAATATCTATATATTTTAGTTACAATATATTTATATATTGAACCAATAAAGGATACATTGAATATCAGTTATCCAATATAAAATATCAAAATCAAGAACATCAACGGTATTAATACAAATATCAGATCGGTATGAGCGATACTGATATAGGATATGACTTTTTACCCGTTATAAATCTTATGAGGAAGTCGATATATAGATATTACAGTGCTACTGGTATTACCCATGCCTATTAGCTATTGAAACGATTTGTACTTTCGCGCCAATTTTTCAATTTAAAAGGCAGTGCCAAGACACTAATAGTTAAAACAAGTTTGCAGGACATTTTAGTCTTTATGAATAAGGGCATAAGTGTTTATTTGATTTAGTTATACAATAAATTATTAATTTGAATATGGAACTTTCTTTTTTTATCTACGATTGTGTGATATTGTTTTTTATTTATGTATTTCCACAAATTTATTAATACTAATTATAATTTTTAATTTACGAACGTTGTACCTATTTGACATCACGTTTTAGTTTGTTTTTTAATTTTAAATGTTGGTACTATTGTACAGAGTGCAAAATGAGTTGTGATTGTGAATAAATGATTGACACAAAATACTTTTTGTTGTTTTAATTTCAACCTAATTCTCTGAATTTTTTGAATTTTTTTTGAGACTTTATTAAATGTGTAAGTATATATTTCAGTTTTATTACATTACTTCATAAAAAAAAAAAATCATACATTTAACGTGACGAACCCGCCGTTGACATTTGGATTATTTTAGTTTGTTAACGATGTTTTTTATCATCGGAGAACAATGGTGGGACAAGACCTAAATTGGATATGAGCAAGGTTCTTTTTGCGCGAGGCCCTTTGCAAAAAGAGGTTTTAAATATGGAAGTGTAAAATTAATAAAAAATCTGCGGGGCTCAAGGTCGCTCTAATCCACAAGATGTAGGCGGTAGCCCACGTCCGCCCGCACTTTATATACTTCGAAGCACATACTTAATACCCTACTATCACCACTAGTACAGATAATATATGCTATAGTAGCTAGTATATATATATATATATATATATATATATATATATATATATATATATATATATATATATATATATATATATATATATATATATATATATAGTAGCACAAAAGCGGGGCACCAGTGAAGGATGATAGGTGAGGATGAAGCAGATCAGTTAGCCCATCGTGAACGAATTGAATTTAACAAGAATTGTTCACGATGGTTACCAGGGGGAACAACGTGGAGGTCGATCTAATAGGGCATATTGCTAATGAGGTTGTTAAACTCTATTGCTAACAATACTTTTCCCTCCAGTAACTAGTAAAGTAATATCAAGATAAAGAAAAGAAAAAACAGTATAAAGAATTGAGTCCTTATACTGTGATGGTACTATTAGGTACTATTATAAATGTGAAGTCTGTGATGAGAATGGATACATGTGTGTTAATCTTTCATGTAAAAAGTACTAAACAGTTTCAAAGGGGGAGTAAAGAGGTTTCTTCAGGGTCGGCAACGCACGCGTAATACCTCTGGTATTGCAGGTGTTCATAGGCTACGGTAACCACTTACGATCAGGTGGGCCGTACGCTTGTTTGCCACCTCAGTGGTATAAAAAAAATTTAAACTATTAAAAATTTGCTATATGGGTAGGTTATGTGCTAAGTTTATATATTGGATATTTAATACATACAGCTTTTTTTATGCAACTTAGAATGGCAAACAAGCTGATGGCCCACCCGATGGAAAGTGGTAACCGTCGCCTATAGAAATGAGCAGTACCATGGACATAACAGAGTATTACTTTAGTATGTATGTATAGTACCGCATTCGAGTATTCTGACACTTCCCTACGGTTGACTGGGACAGAATGCTTTTGGCATTAAGTCCGCCATGTACACATATTGGTGATGATTATTATTATGAAGGTGATGTTAAAGAAATCCTTCAGATACCCTACGACTGCTCTATATAAGTCCAACGTTCTGAGTGTGCGACAACTACATCCTTAGGGTGTCCTTATAATGACCGCTCCACAATTAACAGTCCGCATTATCCCAGGCTGCTGGAAAAAATAAACCCTTCTGTACACCAAACCTGTGTGAAGTCCTACTTCGCTTCCCGTTTACCACTATTCATGTTTCCCTATGTTTATAATATAATATTAAAAAAATGTAAAATTATCCGATGTGAAGTTAAAAATACGTAATTGCCTGCAATCTCTAACATTATGTGCATACAGAGATAATGATCTGATAAGACCTGTTTTCTAAAATATTTATTGAAATGCAAGCACACAACACACACGCACACGTACACGCACACGCACACGCGCACGCTTGCACGCACGCTCGACACACACACACACACACACACACACACACACGCACGCACGCGCACACACACACACACACACACACACACAGACACACACAGCCATACACACACGCACACACACAGACACACACACAACTACACACACAAACTATTACAAATTATTATATATATTTATATTAAAATTATATTTATCCATATTAGTTAATAGGTTCCCCAGATACAGGCTCGACCCATATGCGTACCGTTGTTAATCAATTATGTAATCTACTGTTTGAAATAAACATTATTATTATTATTATTTGTACTAATGAATAAATAAATAAATTAATATTTGCCACACAACCATAGCAAGTAGCAACCGTAATAATTTATTTATTTGAATAAATTATTAGGATTGGTTAACAGTAGCGTTAGATCTGGTATGTCACCGACAATGATGCGGCTCCACGGTTTTGGGCGTGACGTGACGGGCGTGACGGCGAGACGGCGCCGGCGTGACAACATCAGATGAAAGTTTGATATTTGACAAATTAATGGTAACGGATGGTCACAGAGCTAGTCTACTCACTACCTAATGCAACTTTATTCATTAACCTTTTGTATTAAAAAAATTCAGCCAATCATAGTTACGCCACAAAAAATAAAGACAAATTGGAGTTGCTAAGAACACGACTCACAAAAACTATGAAACAAGGCATATATCTAAAAATAAAAATGTATAATAAATTACCCAATACAGCAACGCAATTGCCTAGAAATGAATTTAAAAATAAAATAAAGATATATTTTGAAAAACATCCTTTTTACAACGTGACCGAATACCTAAATGCCAATATTAAATTATACCATTATTAGCTGACTCGACAAACATTGTTTTACCATATACATTATTTCTAGAACTATACATAAATATTAATCGTACTACAATCATTATATTCGATTGTCATCTTGTAACCTTTTTTCGGAATATAAAAATCGCGATTAAAAACAGGAGTTGATCGCAAAAGCGTGAAAATTTGAAGCTGTATGTATGTTTTAATGCTTAGTTATAATAAAATAAAAAATGACAAAAAAATAAAAAAAAAAGTTTAGGGGTAGGTCATCTTTATGGTTGAGGGGTATGAAAAATAGATGTTGGCCGATTCTCAGACCTACCCGATATGCACACAAAATTTCATAAAAATTGGTAAAGCTGTTTCGTAGGAGTTTGGTAACAAACACCGCGACACGAGAATTTTATATATTAGATTATTAATTTATGTTTAACTGCAAGAAGTGTGACAATTCCAATTTTATAAATTGAAGTCATCATTATTGGTATATAGCCACCATTATATTGACATGTATTAACTAATTTATAATGTTAACTGTAATTCATTTGTAATGTTATTTTTATTCTATAATTTTTTTTATACCACTGAGGTGACAAACAAGCATACGGCCCACCTGATGGTAAGCGGTTACCGTAGACTATAAACGCCTGCAATACCAGAGGCATTACGCGCGCGTTGCAGACCCTGAAGAAACCTCTTTACCCCCCTTTTGAAGAACTCCATGCTGTAGTCTCTTGTAGAGGAAAACCTCGGCAGGGAGCTCATTCCATAACCTGAGTGTTCGTGGGAGGAAACATCTCTGAAACCGCGTTGTACGTTGTTATAATTTAAATGTTATTGTTATTATTTATTTTATTAATTTCGAGTTTAGAGAGCATTTTTTATAGTTACTTGTATAGTAAGTAGATTTTTTAAAGGATTTTAATGGAATGGTGACCCCGCCTGCGCTAACGATATACGCTGGCGAAGCACCAGTGAGGGATGATAGGTGAAATTGAAAAGGCAGGTCAATTAGCACATCGTGATGAATACATCTGGAATTCAGCACGATGGTTTCCGGGGGGAACCGCGTGGAGGTCGACCTGATTGGGTATATTGCTAGCTATGGGACTGGTAGCCCGCATCACTTACAACCCCTTATCCTTAGAAAGTAGATTGGTTGACGGTAAAATGTTTGATGATGACCAATTTAACGATGGATGATTTTAAGGCTTTATTGTTGATTGATAATTGATTATATTAACTATAATTAGGTAATTATATTTAATATATAATTAAGTATCTAACAGCTTCATCAAATTATTATATATTTATTAATTTATTTATTTATTCATTAGTACATATATGTGTATATGGCGGACTTAATGCTAAAAGCATTCTCTCCCAGTCAACCGTAGGGAAGTGTCAGAATACTCGTATGTGATACTACTTATTGTGATTTTATTGCTGGGTTCAGATAGATAGATAGATACTCTTTATTGTTTCCTCCAAAAGATTACAATAGTAAACTTATTATAAATATAAACAATTACAAGAAATAATCACAATGAGAAAACAATGGGCGACCTTATCGCTAAGAGCGATCTCTTCCAGGCAACCTTTGGATGGAGAGGAGTAATTATAAAAATTTGGTTTCAGGTTATTGTTATCCGCTGAAGAATCCCCAAGAATATCAGTAGTGATTCTTTTCAAAGTTTTTAGGCTTAATTAGTATTGAGAATTATTTAAGCCTATGTATTTATTGTTTAATAATTGCAGTGTGGTCCCGGTATAGAATGGGCCACTCCTTCCTTACCCATGGGTGTTGTACAAAGCGAATAAGGGAACTTAATGGTCGAGTGATTTTTTTAATGGGTGATAATGGAATGGTAATCCCGCCTGCGTTATAGATATACACCAGGGGGGGATGATAGGTGACGACGAAAGCAGGTCAGTGACGAATTCCACTAGAATTAACCACGATGGTTTCCAGGGAGAACCGCGTGGAGATCGATCTGACAGGGTGTATTGCTAGCATTAAGTCAGACCCCATTACCAACAATCCCTTTCCCTCCTGGTCGAGGGATTGGCAGCAGCGTCCGTCTTAAAACATCACCAAAACCAAAACCCCAAAACCCCTTTTATAGGGGAGACCTATGTCCAGCAGTGGACATTTAACAACTGATGTTATGTGACTGTTTAATATTTATTATAAAAATACACAATCTGTTATACCAGTCTTCACAAGCAGCACTCGTTCACGAGTATGACGGATGAAAAGAGCGATGGCATTGTATAGGCAATTTTCATAACCATTTAAGATCTGCTTGCTGAAAGCTAATTATTTTCCACCAACTTGCATAGACAAGACAAGCAAGCAACAGATTGCCACCGCTTGAATCCAGCGAAGAGCACGCTTTCTTGCAACACCCCAACATGGCTGCACGCATTAATTTATTGGCAAACACACCGTATTTATGCGATTTGTACGTTTTCTAACATTGCTACGATTGTAATTTGTAATGCAACTGTCCGAATGCGACTGGCGTTGACCAGTTCTATGGTGGACTGTGGCCACTGGTCGTTTACTCTGTGAGTCTCAGTAAGACCGCGCGCGTCTCGTCGAACGCACGAGTCGATTTCTCTCTCTCCATCGGCTACGAAATATTACGCGTCAAAATACGCCCCATTTATCGAAGTGAATTAACTTTTTTTGTGCTAAACTGAGTGACAGTGTTGTGTTGTTTGTTATTGGTGCATTGACACGGATCTAAGAGCCCAATTTAGAGGTAAAAAGATGTGCTTTTTCAATAATTTATTTTCAAATTATTATTGCGTAAAAAGATACGTTTTTGTTTTTTTTTTTTTTTTGCTCGACTAGGTAGGCAATTAGGGGCATTGTTGTTTGTACTATTAAAATGTGTTATTGTATTTTTTTTTTTACAGAGTAACATTATAAAATATGCTACTACTGTTTAAATTTTACTGTCTAATCAAAATATAATATGTTTATTTTTATTTTATTAAGTATTGTAGTTGTTCTTGTTTATTTTTGGGATATCATAAATTAGATAGGTTACTATTATGTACCAAGTAGTGGCTACTTGGACTAAATTAAATGATTGCTGCAGGTACTGGTCGTAGCTGTATTTTAGGAGTGGCTCTATCTGTTACTTTATGCTGTGGATAGAGCGGTGAGTTGTGAGTAGGTGTTAGATTTGAACCTATGACCCCGGCACTGAATGTTGTGTACAACGCCAGCCTCTTTAATAACAGATAGGTAGTTTGAATATGAATGTTGAATTTAGATGTTGCATACAATTATAATTATTGTCTATATTATTAAAAAAAAATCTAATATATAAAATTGTCGTGTCGCGGTGTTTGTTACCAAACTCCTCCGAAACGGCTTTACCGATTTTTATGAAATTTTGTGTGCATATCGGGTAGGTCTGAGAATCGGCCAACATCTATTTTTCATACCCCTCAATGATAAGGGTGATCCAACCCTAAATTTTTTTTTTTTTATTTTTTTGACAAACTTTTATTTTTAATTTATTATGATTTAGTATTGAAAAATACATAAAAATTCAAATTTTCACGCTTTTACGATCAACCCCTGTTTTTTAATCGCGATTTTTATATGCCGCAATAGGGTTGAAAGATGGCAATCGAATATAATAATTGTAGTATGAGAAAATTTCATGTATAGTTCTAGAAATAATGTATATGGTAAAACAACGTTTGCCGAGTCAGCTAGTATTATATATATATATATATATAAAATATTTATGATTTTGCATAAAATTTTTATGCACGCGTAGGTACTTTTGTCTTATTCTTGTTTACTCGTATGCTGCCAGAAACTGTACTTATGTACATAATGTATATAATTATTTTTACCTACGTACGTATTATTACCAATTTTTATTTGGAGGGCGGAATGTGGGCATCACAGTGTATTCTGTGACGCCCGTAGAATTGTTCTTGCTGTAGGTGAAGGTTACAGTTTTCTATCAGGTGGGCCGTCAGCTTGTTAACTGTTCCAAAATGCATAATTTTCTGTTGTGTTTTTTTTTTCAAATAATTCTTTCTAACTTAAGTTTTATAATATCTCACGTCCGGTGTTCGTGATCGCATTCCTCCGAAATAGCTCGACCGATTTTAATGATAATTTTTATGTAAATTTGTTAAATTTGGATATGGAAAGATATACTGTAGTATCTCTCTTATATATATATATATATATATATATATATATATATATATATATATATATATATATATATATATATATATATATATATATATATAAGAAGGCTTATGTTCAGCAGTGGATAGTTAACAGCTGGTATGATGACGATGAATTGCTCGAGTATCATTTCGCAGTGTCAAGTAATGGAGTGAACGGACCAGTTCCTGGTGTATTTGTCACGATGCACCAATTGGTCTAACTTCATCTATACTTATCAACCCTCAGTAGTATTCTGCCAATGTATATCAATGGGGGGAAAGGGATTGTTAGTAATGGAGACTGAGAATCCCATTGCTAGCAATATACCCAGCCAGGTCGACCTCCTCGCGGTTCCCCCTGGAAACTATCATGGTTAATTCCTGATGAATTCATCATGATGGGCTAACTGGCCTGTTTTCATTCTCATCTATCACCCTTCACTGGTGCTCCGCCAGCGTATCCCGTTAGCGCAGGCGGGGATACCATACCATTATCACCCATAAAAAAAATGTATACCAATAGCATAGGTGATGTTATCATTCCATTATAAAAAAAAGTATCATTAATACCGTATTTATTTTGCAACTTAGAATGGCAATCGAGTTGACGGCTTACCTGATGGAAAGTGGTAACCGTCGCCTATAAAAATGAACAGTACCATGGACATAAGACAGTAGTATACTGTATCTGTCATGATACCTCCCTATGCGTTGCCATTTCTGAGGACTCAGGTGTTATTCCTCTGTACTCTGTAATTTCATTGCTATATCCCACTCTACAAACCGAAACACAGCTATGCAAACACAACTGCTTCACTGCAGAAACACGAATGGGACAGAGGTACTCAAGCAAAAGACTTTTGTACAAAATGTCTCTCTGGTAATGATTAATTACTTACACGTCTAGAGCTACCTTTAATGTTATTTATGAATTTATGATTTGAATAGGTTTTTTTATGTGTAAACCAGTTATTTAACTTGATTTTTATACGAAAAACAAGTTTACTTAATGCCAATATATGTGTACTGACGCAATAAATATTGACATTCTGTATTTGCAGTCAATGAGATGAACGTAAAAATTTCAAAAAAAATTCTAAGAACTCTGTACTGTCATAAATAAGTAAATAACGTAAAATTCAAACAACTTTAAGTTTTGTTTACTCTGTTTCACTAATTGTGCAATTATTTTTATAATCGTACTAGTTTTTGCTCGCTACTTTGTATTGTGGATTTTGGAAATAAATGACCACTAAAATATAATATAATAAGATAAATTAATCAAATTTTAACTTAAACCTTCAAAAACACAACTGTGAAGACTGTATTTTTTTTAATGCATATACCCATATTGCTAGCAATGGGGCTACTAATCCCCATTAATAACAATCCCTTCTTCCTACCGTATTTCATTTGGTAAAATAGTTTTTGTGTGATACCAAAACAAACATAGGCACAAATGGACAGACAATTTTTTTTTAAATATTTATCTAGGTTAACATATATACAAACATATATCTCCGTCACGCCTGTCTCCTATTTGGCGATAGAAACAATACAACGCTAAATGCTCCGATTCAAACGGACCTCTTACGCGGACTTAATACTATATTCATGCCTTATCTCCCAGTCAACCTTTGGTAAAACAGAAATTTAATTATGCGGTACAAAAAAAAAAAAAAAATTAAAATTGTTGCAAATTATTATTATTTGTATATTAAATCATTTATCACAATAAAGATTTTACAATACAATACAATTTGCACGTATCTATTGATGTACAGATGTAATAAAAAAATTATTATATCCATATACGATTATATTTATTATTAAGTAAGCATTTTAAAAAAATATATACATTACGATACACATAAAGTGTAACATCATATAGATACTTCCCAAAAAAAAAAAAAAAAACTGACCAAAAGTGTGTCGACCATGTGTTAATAGAGTTACATAACGCATTAAAATGTTTTACTTGGTTTCATATTTCTTTATGTTATTAACGTAAATTAAAAATTTTGCAATCGAGGGTATCTACCATTAGAGTGGTAAGCATATTTTACATTTACAAAGAACGAGTCATACTAAAATTGTGCAGCTGATTCAGACATAACTTTTAGGGTATAAATGTAACTATGCAATTTTTGTATGCAATATAAAAGGGCAAACAAGCTGACAGCCCACTTGATGGAAAGTGGTAACCGTCGCCTATAGACATGAGCAGTACCATGGACCTAACTGAGTATACTGTTTCGCCCATGGTACCCCCCATGTATTGCCATTCCTGACTCAGGTGTTATTCCTCTGTACCCAGTAAATTCACGCCATATCCCACCCTTCAAACCGAAACACAGCCATGCAAACACAACTGCTTCACGGTTGAAACACGAATGGGACAGAGATACCCAAGCAATCGACTTTTGTACATTTATTTATGTAAAAATTAGAGTTTGTCTAAAGATGGAGTTATGGAGTGATTTAGGTATTGTTTAGTATAAACGTGCAAAGTATATTATGACCAATATTTCGTTGCTCTACTGCATTTGTAAACGATGTTGTCATCATATCAGACTTAAGTCTCCTCATATTTGGGATTTTGCCAGTAGTTGCCACGCTTGGCAGCCGCAGCTTTGGTGGTGTATTAAGAGGGACGCTGCTGCTCATCCTTCGAGTATTCAGTTCCCTTAATCGCCCCTTACGACAACCACGGGTCACGATGGGCTAACTGACCTGCTTTCATCTTCACCTATTATCGCTCACTGGTGCCCCGCCATCGTATACTGTTAGCGCGGGTTGGGTTACCTTTCCATTATCACCTATTAAAAAAAAAAAACAAAAGAATAAAAAAAACAAGACAAAACCTGACGCAAAAGATTTTTTTTACACTAGCAGCCTTATCGTTCACCATTTTTATGATTTATTTCCTTATTAAACAAAAAGCTATCATAATTTCTTAGCATCCCATTGTTACTTGAATGTCGTGATCAGTTTACTACGCACTAATTGGCATCTGACGTATCTCCGCATTGATTATGTTAAGCATCATAAACTTTGCAATAAAATCTATATATTTTCTATATAATAATGTATTATATACATTACATTTACATACATTATATATACATAGCATCTTTATACAATTATACAATATTGTCATACCTACTTGTACAACAATTAGTATATTCATCACACGGTTCCCTCTGGAAACTATTGTGATTAAGTCTTGTTGAATTCATCACAATGGGCTAATTGACCTGCTTCCATCGTAACCTATCATCTCTCACTGGTACCCCGCCAGTGAATACTGGTAACGTGGGTGGGGTTGCATTTTAATCCATAAAAAAATATTTGTAACTCCTAACATAGGGGGGAAAGGGATTGTTAATAATGGGACTAAGAATCCTATTGCTAGTAATATGCCCAACCAGGTCGACCTCCTCGCGGTTCTCCCTGGAAACTATCATGGTTAAGTCCTGATGAATTCATCATGATGGGCTAACTGGCCTGTTTTCATTCTCATCTATCACCCTTCACTGGTGTTCCGCCAGCGTAT